TATAATAGTTTACGGTCGACTACGGAGTGTTTACGATGCGGATAAAATACGGGCCGTATTCCTGATTCCAGTACGACGGATAATTACGGACTACTTACGGTACGTAATAACATCGTTTACGGTCGTAAAATAACCGTATTTCCACAGCTCACTGTCCGAAAACGGCCCGTAAACGTAATCCGTTTCGCTTGACCTGGGTAAAAAAAGACAAATTTTAAAATGTAATTTTCATTAAATTACAAATAAAATTTACTTGTGTAAATAGTTGATTAGGACTTTGATTTTTATAGTTAGAATTTGTTTTCGTTTTGTGACCTTGATTTGATTTATTAGTGTTTGTTGTTGATGAAATTGATGGTGAAATAGTTTCAACGATCACGTCAGGAGAACCAGATGAACATTTTTTTGACTAGAAATAAAGCATTTCTTACTACAAAAGAACAGAATATGTCGATTTACATTTGAACGAAAATCATTAATTTCTGTATCTGAATTGATCTTTTTTACATTTGGCATTGATGATTGTTCTTCACCTGAACTAAGGATTGATTCGGATGTAAATGTCTTGTTTGACATCAATGCGTTAATTTATAGACGAAACTAAAATGAAAATAGTGAAATCAAGAAAATTTGTTACAGTAGGTATGTGTAGTTATTTGCGAAATGATTTTTTTGTATCTATGTCAAATGGATCTTTCAATTTCAATTAGTCTTCATTTTAATATTCTTCTGAACGAATCAGAGTGGATTATTATAGATGTCAGTTGATATCTGGAACAAAACATCCAAAACTTCTACGACCAGCTGCATCAATAATAATGATAAATGTTTTTTTTCCATGTTATACACCAACCTTGACTAACTTCATATATCATCTTGTATCTTTCTTGATCATTTCTATAAAAAGTCCAAGAGAATTATCGTGATTCGAGCAAATTTTCACGATCTTCATTTTCTAAATTTCTCTAATGCTTCATTTATTAATGTCAGATAATGAGAAAGATGGAAAGAAGAACAGAAATGTGATCATCATTCTAAGCAGACAGAGAAAAACTTATTTCACCATTTAAGATTATAATTAAATAGAAAGCATTTTTCACAAGATCATATGTTTTGTGACCGAGTTTTTGTACTAAGGTAATGTTGACTTTTATAAGAAAGAAGCCGCAACAATCAAAAGTCAGGAATCAGCAATATCTTTTACAACTATAAAGTAAACGCGGAACTAGTACATATGATGTCTCAGGAGTTTCCCGGAAACTATCAATGATTTCCAGGAACAAAAATTCCTGCAGCAAAAATTCCCAGAAACGAAAAACTAGTGCCTCCGCACAAAATTTTCACAAAAGCAAAATCAGTTTGAGGGTGCGGGCAAGGAACTTTCACACGGCTACACTTTTGTCTCGTATGGCATATTGAGGGTGCGGGGAAGCGACTTTCCATTTCATATCCATTATACCCTTGCTACCAGAAAAGTGGAAAAATTCGAGTTTCCTGGAAACTCGCAGAAGACATCAAATCAACTAGTATCTTCATAGGGAAAAAGTCTTGTAAAGCGTGTTTGAAATAGATACCAGTAGCGTAAAAAGGGGGAGGGGCGTAGGGCACGACGTCTCCGCCTGCTTTTAAAATTTCTCATTGTGTTCCACCTGTTTCGAAAATGTTTTAGCAAAAATCGAAAAATTTAACCAAAATCCATCTTGCACTCCCCGACGTCTCCTTGCTTTGAGACCCAATCTACGCTCCTGATAGATATGAGTTGCTTAACGCAATGGCCAGCAATATAAATAATTGAACAGTTAAGACGAACTTTTAAACACAATTTCTTCCATAAAATACAGTGACACTGACGTATCTTTCAGAAAAGGGTGAGTGAATCCATAGGTTTAGCGTTACTTTTATTTATATGTACCGCAGTCGAAAATGCAACTCTTCTACTTTTCTATATTAATTTCTTTTGAGACCATATTTCGATTTTTTATTATTCGAGTACACGTCGATCATAGTCAATAATCAAGAGAAAGTCCTAAGAAGGCTTCTTATGAAGGTCGAATCGGTTTTGAAGATCTGACCTGCTAAAATCTTTAGAATGGGAATGATTCAATGGAGTTTTTCTGAAAAAATCTCTGATAATTTTTTTTCTCGAAAGACCAAAATGTGGTGTATAATAATTACATTATAACGATGCGTTTGCATAGTAAGTCACATGTACGCAAATGATGTATCTATATCAAAGCCCACATCCCATATCCTTACTGAATTTTATTATTGATAAGAAAGCATAGGAGATTAAAAAAGAACAGAAAAATAAAATTCTAGCAGGTTTCTACTAATCTTTAACACTACGATGAATACAAAGTTTCTTCTTTTTAGGACCATTCAAGCAACTATCACATAATAAACTCATGGCAATTAAACAAGTTACAATAACATATAACTATTTAGATATTAGCTATTTTTCGTATTTTGTAACATTGTTGCTTACCTTATTTTGAGTCTTCAAAGTTCAAGTCGTAAATATTTCTCAAAATATACATTGCTTTTGTTCATAATGTTCAATAATTAAATATAATCTTCTAGACTTGAACGCACAGACAGCTATTTTGTATCGATCATACCTTCTAAGATGAACACAAGTGAAATATATGCTAATAGAAGCAACTTTTTCTACAACGCGATCAGATTCAACAATGGAGCGATATTACATATTCTTCTGAAGTTCTACTGAGGGCGTGGGTGGTAGATATGCATGTTCGTAAATATATACACCCACACCCTTTTTCTAGCGATAAAATTTACCCGAAAAAAACAACTGAAAAATATTTCGAAGCTATATTCATGTTATAAAATTTATCACTCTTCAAATAAGAATTTGTTCAAATTAATTTTAATTATGAATATTAACGATTAAATATCGACATATTATCGTTGAAGTTTGCGACTCTTTTCTAATATTCATATTAAATACAACCTAAATTGGTATTATTAAAATGACGATAGCTAAAATATTCAAAAATTAATCTGAATCTTACACATTCAATCTTACGCACATTTTTAATAATATTTTTGAATATCATTTATAGTTCTCTTCGCGAGTAAGAATTGCATCAAATCATTCAAAATTCGAGTGTGCAATTAAAACTAGCTTATTAATAATTAAATTCTATGCTTTGTAATACGAAAATAACATGATATATCAACTGTGTAGAATTTACTGCTGAAACGATAGATTTCTGTTTTAACTGTCGAATAAACCTATTATATTTTTCGTACAGCTGTTACAGTCATATGTTTACATTACTTGACTCACTTCTTTCTTCACAATATGTTTATTCAACTCGCATTCCTTGATGCTTTATTCTCTCTTGTATATATCCTCTCTTCTCTCGCTTAACGGTATCTCTTTTGAATCTTAATAAAAAGAACATCGAGAAGGGATTCTCTAATAACAGCAAGTCTTTATGCCTGTTATATATTGATTAGTTATCCAAATTATAATTTAATCACTTTATGTTATTTAACGTCGGTTATATGATGATTGCATGAAACTGTTAGATCGTAACTCTTTATTATTGACATCGATACTAAAAATTGTATATAGGTACAATTACGAACAAAAATCACGCGAAGATTGGCAAACCTATTCGAGCCAATCAAAGTGCGAGAAAAGTTTTGAAATATTTTATAGTCCATATTTGATTTTGAATTCTATTTACTAATTTTTTCATCGCTAAGAAAATTTCAGCTATGATTCTGATGTCTGCTGCGTTTGTATCATCAGTTGCAAGGGAGATTGTATTCATCATTGTACGATTTTTCGTTACCGTTACTATGCAATGTGATGGGAAAGCCGCAAAACTTCGATTCATAGCTGATACTAAATGTTTGTCTCTTTGAAAAATATCATACAATTTCTAAGAAATATTTTGAAAATATATGAAAGATGACATCTTATAATTTACTCGAAAATTACTCCAATGTTTTAAACAGAAGTCGATGGTAATGTTTTTATATGATCTTTAATAAAAACCCAGGTCAAACAATCAGACAGTAAGATCTTGTATGATCATACCTCTGATCCGGTATGATCGTATAAGATCAGATGAAATCATACAAGGAATCGTAAAGCCTGATCATCGTATCAATTCGTACTGTAAGATTTCTGTAAGATTCTTATCAGATCTTACAAGAATCTTATGTCCTGATAAGATCTTATACGAATCTTACAATACGAATGGATACGATGATCTGACTTTACGATTTTTTGTATGATTTCATCTGATCTTACAAGAATACCGTCTGATTGTTTCACATGGGAAGAAATATATGTAAGACGACACCTTTTTATTAGAAACTTTATTCATTTTATATATGGATAGTAATATCATCATCATAACATAGATGATTTGAATTGAAAGTTTAGCAATTATTCATAATTTGATCTATAGGAATTAATTTTAATCATCTAATTGAGCCTTTAAAATGTAGGTAAATGAATGATCAAGTTCATGATTTGTGCATAGACTTGGAAACACTGCTACCATTGATTTACTCAAGTTGAGTATTATTATGACACCTATCGTTTCTGTAGTTGATTACTTCAGTCATTGACAAATATGGCAACTGTAAGAATGAAAAAGAGAAAAAAAAACCAATGATTTAGAATAATATTTCAACATAGTTACTATTGTAAATAAATAAACACAAAAAATTCATTGAAAAAAATTCCATATTTTAACTCTTCCGTTTCTTTTTTGGAAAACTTTTAGATTATAAAATCTTCGTATCTTATTTCTTATTTAATTTTAAGAATGAAGGCAAACCAAACATGTGATTTATTACTTATGAGTTGGAATATTTTAGCACCTTGCTGGGTTGAGAAAGAATGGTATCCATCTGTATATGATTTAGCTGCTGATCATCATACGCGAATCAAAGTCATTGCATCAAATATTTCTGCGTGGAATTGTAATGTCATTATGATTCAAGAAGCTCAAGAAAATATGATACCTCTCTTTCAAGAAAAATTAGGCGATAGATATATATCTGAATTCGCACCCAATAATCCAAGTTCAACGTCATTAGCTAACGGACTTCTTACATTGATTCATAAAGATTGGAGATATGCCGGAGAAGCCCGGATAATTAATGGTATTCTTGATTCGAAACAAGGCGATGCTATTCAAATCATTTTTATTCCTTCGAAAAATATTCATTTAGTTAATTTACACCTAGATTATATTTGTCCATTGCCACAAGCAAAAATGGTTAAAAGTAAATGCAATGAATTGTTAGGTACTTCAAGTTCTATGTCCATTATGGCTGGAGATTTAAATGCGGACAAAATTGTTTATGATCAGTTTGAATGGATTGAATTCAAAAATGTCTTCAATGAATCAAATGAAGATAAGATTATTCCTTCATATTATACTGATCGATACGATGATGAGTCGGATATTTCTATTGATCATATTTTTTATGATCCAAATCAAGTTGCTTTGATTGAACAAGGCAAAGCATGGAATACTCAAGATCGATCGCTCGAAGATGCTCTAAGAATTTTTGGAAGTGATCACATTTATGTTTGGGCGAGCTTCAATTTTATGCAACATTAAATAAGAATCAAAATATATGAGTATACGAGATGTAATTTCTTCAATTTATTCATTGATTTATTTTTATAAATAAATACGACAAGAAGAAAACTATTTAAAATCGGACAAAATAAAAAATACTTTGCCTAATTCAACAACAAAAACAACAAAAAAGCAATGAAAAAGAAACATAAATAAAACTAATTTTAAAACGAAGCAGATCAAATGTTGAATACTGTTTCAAATAAAATATTCAACTGAAAATAATATTCTCTACATTTGCATAAAACAATCACTTCAAGTCTTCGAAAGGATAAATAATACAATAGTTTGCATTAATCAATTTCCGATTGTTTAGAAGTTCAAATGATAGCATATATATTGATTAGATGAAATTACGTAAAACAGATGAGAGACAAGAAACTGCACAGGTGCAAGACAATCTAAATGTGTCAATAACTATTGCTATGCGTTTCGAGAAACTATAGAAGAAGTTAGTATACATAAATATATGACTAGAAATATCTTTGAACCAGCGACAAAACATCAAAACATGAGAATATCACGTTTTATCACGACAAAAAGGAAATGTGGAGAAACAGTTCTTAATGGTACGACAAAAATTGACCATGTAATTTCATAAAAAAGTCTGTACAACACATGAAACTTAGTATTCTAAGTAAAACATTCGCCTGCTTTTATAATGATTTAAATTTATGCTGTGCTCAAATTTTCAATGTTTCTGGTCAAAATGAAGCTTCTACTTTTTTCAACACAATGAAAATGCTAGTTTCGGGCATTGTAATGTCAATTAGAATTGAAATTGAAATATTTTCTGGTGAAAAGGAAATATTATTGAATCGCAGTAAAATACAGTAGTAATAATTTCCATTAATTTTTATCAAGAAACTTCATGTGAGAGTGTAAGTACAATAGAAATTTCGCTCTCATCCATATACGATCTTCGCGTGTATTACTACAAGATCTTACGTCAGATTTTTCAAGTTCGGTAGCAGCATATAAAACAAAGTGACATTTTAAATAATCTAGTTTAGTAGATAAGTGATTTTTTTCAAAGTGCTTGTTTTATGTGTGTATATTTAACTTGAAGAAAAATAAACAAGAAAAAAAAATAATAATAAAAGACAAGAAAAAGGATTAATTGATCGTCCAAATTTCATCAACATGCAATTCCAACATTTCGAGTCCAGGAAAACTTTGAACTTGTTTAATATAATACAAAAGATCACTTGTTAAGAGTCCATGTTGAGGTCCACCATCATTAGCAATTCTAAGTTGTCGTAGACGTTTCGCTAATAGCTGTTTAAATATTGAATTAAGACGAGTAAAAAGTAGAATAAGATCACTAGGTGAAACAATACGTGCGACAGCATTGTAAAAAGCAGTTATATGCCGTGTTACAAGTGTACGAAAACAATCACTTGGCATTGGCGCACGAACTTCATATGATGAAAGTGTATCACCAAACGTTGTTTCAATTATCGAAATTAATTTTCCATGAATTTCATCGATATGTTCCGAATAAAGTTTTGCCAGCTGTTCAAATTGTTTAGCAGATGAAATAGATGAAATTGTTGATATAGATTCAGATGAAACCTGCAAATAAAAGAAAAACAATTGAAAATCAATAATTCAATTCATTTTATCCTTGAATGAGTAATGAAGGAAAATTGCTTTCTTGCTTTGACTTTCATTCGTATATATATGTCGTGCCGAAGTTACACTCTTTGCCGAAGTTATAACTTCGACAAAATTTTTGCCGAAGTTACAACTTCGACGGACACTATTGTCGAAGTTATAACTTCGACGATTATCTTTGCAGAAGTTATAACTTCGGCAAGTTGCATTGCCGAAGTTAAACTTCGACAAGTAAATTTTGTCGAAGTTACTGTGAATGATTCGATAAACCTAAAACGTTAAAAAATCAACGTAATTTTTTCGATATCAATATTAATAACTATTTTTTAATTTAATAGAGATAGAAAGAGAGCGCACTGCTGGATAAGGACGTAAATCTGCCACCCCTTGGTTTTGAAATTCTGCACAATTTTGCATATCTCTTTTGCTTTTGGTTGAGTAAAACAAAAAATTATTTTAAGGCAGACTTCTCAAGGGATATATATCATTNTCTTTCTATCTCTATTAAATTAAAAAATAGTTATTAATATTGATATCGAAAAAATTACGTTGATTTTTTAACGTTTTAGGTTTATCGAATCATTCACAGTAACTTCGACAAAATTTACTTGTCGAAGTTTAACTTCGGCAATGCAACTTGCCGAAGTTATAACTTCTGCAAAGATAATCGTCGAAGTTATAACTTCGACAATAGTGTCCGTCGAAGTTGTAACTTCGGCAAAGAGTGTAACTTCTGCACGACATATATATATCTAAGAACACTATGTTTTGATTATCTACAAATTGAATATTTCACAATATTAGTTTGTACTTTTTTAATCTCCATAAAAAGATGATCGTCATTAAATATGATGTATAAATATCTGCCTAATAAAAAACTATCAAGTTCATAAGGAAATTTTCTTTAAAAAATAAATTTTTCGTTATAAAAAAAGGTTTAGTCGCTTGTTTAGTATAAAATGAAATGAAAAAATACCTGCAATTGATCATAATGTGATTTAATTTTGGGTAAAATTATTTTAATAAATTGTAAACATCGACACGTAATGGCAAGAATCTTAGCTGAAATAGTTTTTATTTTTCCTAATTTAACTGCACCAGCTCCTAATACTAATTGACATGTTTTAGAATTAAAAAGATTAAGTAATTCAATAAGACGATGTTCAACATCATTTATTGATGATGAAGTTAATAATTGAGCACACGAACAATAATCAAGCACCAACATAAAAAGATGAAGTGCACTATTTGATAAAATAAAATGTTCATTATCAATAGTTAATGTTTCTGATCCATTTGAATTCATTGAAGATGATAAATTGAATAGTTCATCAACTGAATTTTGAATTGAACGAGGAACGGGAACCTATCAATTTTATTTTATTCTATTTATATTTGAATTATTAGAAAAAAATTTACTTGTTTCCATTGTTCATTATCTAATGTAGTTACAACACGTTGTTTTCTTTCATCATGAAAATGAGTTAAAAATTTACTTGTTTGTGATTGTAAAAATGTTCTGAATGGCCGAGATTTGTATTTTTTATCATCGCCATTTACATTCAATATGAAATTTTCAATTAATTTAACTATTTGTGAATATTCATCAAGTGATAAACGTTCGAAATGAACTTGATAACGTGCACATTCTTGCGTTAATACATCTGTTAGACGAGCTTGTACTGTATCGTAAATATTATTTAATAGTGATCCTATTGATGAAGTAATTTTTAATTGATGCTTTAAAAGTGCATCGTTTATATATTGAGAAAGATTTCTAAGACGATAAAGACCTTGTTCAGTTGATGTTAGAATTAAAGTAGCTAATCGAATCCATGAAGAAAATGAACCAGAATTAGAATTTATTGATGATGGATAATTGTATCGAGGAATTGTAGAGGATTCTTCGTTCAGTGAAGATTGTTCACTTAAATATATTTAATTCAATTAGTTTTTTCTTGAATTTCTTTTCTTGAATTTCATCAAAATTTTCACTAGCTTTTATTTTAAGTGGAATTTCAAATCAAATCATCGTGTCCTTCATTATTCTATTGTTCAACAGATTTATCTATGGTAGAAATTTATTTCTACGATAACTGTAAGATAAAACTGACAGTACTTTTTATAAAATCAATAGAATATCTATTAGAGAGATCATTTAAGAAAAACATAACTGACTTTGATTAACATCAATTGCATAATTTTTGAGCTTCATCAATCTGAATCTATAGGAAGTATCATGGAATTCTTCAGCTTGTTATTCTCGTGTGAAAAAAAATTAGTTCTCATATGGCCTAAAGATGTTTTGAATAAGATTTCTATATTGTTCGTGAAATAAATCGTTGTCCATCAAAAACAAAACAAAATGAATGAGCGTAAGATCGTTGAGGTGTTATTCTGCGCTGCTACTATTATGAATGTTCATGTCTAGACGAGTAAATCGATTTACGGCGATACTAATGATTACTGTCACTGGTGGATTCCTACGATTAGTTCTTTTCAAATGAACTGCTGTGTAGCTCGAATTTTGTTGCGTTTAAATTCAGAATTGATGATCATATAACAAATATATTTATTTAGAATTTCTAATAAGCAAAGAAGAAATAATCTTAAAAAGAAATTGATCAATCTGACGTATACAAAAATAAAGAAATATAAGATTCAACTTTGGTAATCATTTTTCAGTTCTGATATTTTCATTAAGTTTACTCTCCTATGCGATGAAAACTTAACAAAAATGACACATTATCAATGGTAATGCTTGCTTTTAAATTTTATCGACCAGAAGAAAAATTACTTTCTAAAGACTTCTTCTTTTTCAACGCCTACAAAAAACCAGCAGTGTCCAAGGACTGAGAAAAAGGAATTCCTAATGTGTCGAGGAATTATCAGTACCGCTGTGATGATGCCTAGAGAAAATAGGAATCAACTATAAGTTCCCTCACAGTTCCACCATTCACGAAAGTTGCGATATTGCTGTTTTAAAAATCATTTTTGCATGAAATCATTGTTTCTCACAATTTTTCAAGTGACAATGAGTGTAAGAACAAAAATTATCATGAATATTCCATATTTTTACCTTTAGTGTGCAAGGAACTGTAGGGGAACTGATGAGGAATCCCTAATCCTCAGTACTTGGACACCCCTCGTCACTATAGCATAGCACGATTTCCCGACGACGATAATAATCATAATAATTAATGCTTTAAAATGTTTATAAAAATCAGAAAACAAAAATAATCTATTGTAGCATAAAAATCAATTTTCTTTTTAAATTACCTATTAGTCTTAGCTGTTGTTTTATTTGATTTTTCTAAATAAATATCTTTTGAATTTGATGATATTGCTCGTTCAATAATATCCAATATGAATTGTTCAAATTTTGATCGAATTTCATCAATGTATTTGTCATCATTAACACGAATTAATCCAATCAGAATTGTTATTAGTTTATCTTCTTCAACATAATCATTTGATAGTATTAAATCTAAATAGTTAAATCAAAAATAAATTTAAATTTAAATTTAAATTGAACTAAAAGAAACCTTGCTGTGCTAACAATTGATTAGTTAAATATTGGCCGAATTCTTGTCTCATAAGATTAATAATAAGTAAATAATATTCATTTAATTGTGTATCATAAAATCTTAAGCAAACAAGATCGTTCAATTGTGTTGAAAGGATCTCTCGTGTTACATCAATTAAATCCAAAGCCGATAAATAATCACTTGTTGTTAGTAAAGCTCGAACTTGTATATGAGTTTGTTTCACAATAGATAAAGATTCTAAACGTTTAAGAAGTTGCCTTTGATTTTGTCGTTGACGAAGTAAACGATAAAGACGAAGTAGTGTCAATAAAGATTGAGAATCATAATTTGATAATTCACCACGTAAGGACGATATTGCATGACGTGTTGTATTTAAAAATGATTGAATTTCATCATGAGAACGAACAGCATCATGAAAACAATGAGATTTTGTTGATAATGCACGTGTAATTAATAATTCAACTTCATCTAAATAATGAGTATATTTATCTTGTAATAAACGGGTTGTTGAACTTATTGAATGTTTTGGTGAGGAAGAATTGGATACAGAACCACTAAAATTAATTAAAGAAATGTTATATTTTATTTTCTTCGAAACATAAATTTTATTTTTTCAATAAACAAAAAATTATTTCATTCAAAAGGAGAATTGACATTGAAATTGAAATTGAAACCATTTCAAATAAATGTAAAACAAATAGATTAAACAAATTTCTAACTAGAAATTAAGTTTTATTCGTTAATGTTCATGATAATCTTGTTAGAAAATACGTTCATACTGAATAGATTTTGTTCAATTAAAGACGCAAAAAAATATTAGTAAACACTATGTTTGATTGAAAGTGTCTCAGGTTTCAATATATGTGTGCATAGATATACTTGATTAGTTATTCTATCGTATCTAGAAAGATTTTTATTGAACTAGAACTATTATATGCAGTGTTTTATTTTCATTGGCGTTGGTTAAGAGATGAACATACACAAGGAAGTCAACAACTTCTTTTACTATTCATGATGAGAATTTATTGTTCCAGAAAATCATTAGAACTATGCAAAACTCGATCGAATTTATTGTAAGTCTTAAATATTCAATTACATTCTAATTATTAGTTGAGAATACGATCAACTTCGCAGATTATAATATTCATGAATAATCTCTTACAAATCTACATCATTCAAGTCTTTAATCTTTTTTCTTTTGATAAATAAGTCATGTCAAAATTTCTTTTTCTAATTTAGAAGTCCGATAGGCAAATGCTTGAAATCAATAGAGAATTTTTTTCTGATCCAATTACATTATCTACGCTTTAAAAATTAAAGATCAATATTATCTATTGAATGGAATTTGATGTTATCATTAAACTATTCAAAAAAAAATTCTTTTTTTTCTATAAAAGAAATCAAGTAAAGTTTATTTAGTTTTTATTCAATACAATATTCAAAACAAACCTAAGTGTTCCGTTGGTGGTTACTTTGGTGGTATTAGTTGCTGACGAAGTTGATTGTCTTCTATTGCTTCCTTCTGATTTCTCACTACTTGTTGATGTTGTTCTTGTTTTTTGCTGTTCAAAATGTATAGGAGATAGTTGACGACTTATTGGAATTATTCCTGGAAAAACAAGATTAAATGTGGATGTATCACTTAGTGTAAATTGTGATGAAAAAAATAATTGTGGAATGTTGATAACTGAATTCGGTTTTTGTGAAATATTTGAATCATTTGATGAATTTTGTCGCATACGTGGTCGACCATATTTTTCACTTTTTCTTAAACTATTAAAATATGTTTCAAAATCATTGAGACTATAATCGCCAAGACGTGTTAGTTGATCAGGTGAACGATCAATAAATGAATTACCTTTAATAGAAATCATAGATTCTTTTATTTATTTAAATGAAAAGAAAAAGAAAGCTAACCCCATGTTTTAGTAAAAAATGTTGAGATTTCTGCACGTGTCTTTTTTGGATCGTTTAAAACACAAGCTAAATTTGATTGAAAAATGGTGGATATTGCTGTTGAAGAATCCCCATCTATTAATTTTTTTCTATTATTGAATGAAGATACCAATGAATGGCTCATTGTTTAAGTAACCATGACATTGATTAAGATATAAGAGAAATAATCTAAAGTACAATATACAATGACTAAGTAACATTTATTTATTCAAAATTTCCTTTTTTTCTCTTTTATAAAAAGAAACAAAACAAAATCAATATTTGATTTTTCTATCTGAGTTTTTCTTCATATGTCAATTATTATTATTATTATTATTATTATTATTATTGTTGTTGTTGTTGTTGTTGTTGTTATTATTATTGTTATTATTATTTGTAGTAGCAGTAGTAGTAGTATTGTTGTTATTATTTTGTTGTCCAATAGTTCCCTGGATTTGTTGTTCATTGGGTTGTGATGATGGACGCGATGATTCATTAGGAATTATTTTAGGTTTTGGAATTTTCGACAAAAGCTCTTTGATTTGTTTTCCATCGTTTGGCGGATCAGCATCATATGTTGTCATTAATTCATAATATTTAAGTAAAAGTTTAACAACTTCATAAACTCTTTCAACATCAATTTGTGCATCAATCATATATTGTTTAAGTATTGCCATTTTATCGCGATATGTTGCTGCAAGTAAAAGACAAGCAAGTGCAACCTCATAAGGTGGATATAAAAGTGGAGCATCTGTTTTTAATGAATCATTTATAATACGCCATGCTGCTTCAAATAATTGTTGATCAATTTGAAATTCTCGTGTATACATGTCCAATGAACGATATGGATGATAGATTATTAAACAACAATCCATTATTTCAAGTAAATAAAATTCACATTCAAGAATATGTTTTATTAGATACGGATATTCTCCTGGGCCACCTGAAATAAACAGAAACAAATTAGAATAAATAGTTTTTCGTTAACGCGAATCGATCATATGATTATTATTGTTTCCTTTTGTTAGTGTTCCGATTGAAATGAAAGAAATAGTCTTGAAAAAATACATAACAAGTTGTATTCATAATAATTTTATCAAGATAATTGTCACCAATTGATAAATAAGAACATGAAAAAAGAAAATATTTTACTTTTTTAATTATTTGAATCTTAAAATTCTATGTTGAATTAAATTTAACAGTTATTCTGGTCTTAATTATCATTACAGATTAGATTTTAATATTCAATTGAATGCAAAAGTATAATATTCTTTGTAATAATTGTACTCAACTGTGGCTTTCAATATATATATATATATCAATGAATGATAATTAGAAGAAGAAAAAGAATATTTGACAAAATAAGTTCATCTCTGGTAAAATAATTAAAGATAAGACAATATGCAGAAGTAATTAGTGTTTAACTTTCTTTTTTATTCAGAACTGTATTATCCGTGAAATTAAATGTTAAGACTTGTGTTTAGAAAATTTTAATTGATCTTTCCGATTACAACATGAAGAAAAAAATGTAATTTTATTGTTTGTTAGATGAAGCATAAAAGATAATTTCTTTTCTACGTCAAAGAAAAAGAACAAAAAACATTTCATAAAAACTATTGTGTCGATTAAACATTAATTTGGAGTCTACGAACGATTCTCAAAATCGAATTGGGTCTCACCTATAGATCTCACGACTTTGACCACTCTGATGATTTCTATTTTTATTGGAATAAAATCTTATTTTACTAAATTATAAAAACAAAATTAATAGAAAAGTATTCTTTTAACTTTAAATAAATATTTATTTGAAAAAATAAAACTGATTTCTTTTTTTCTTTTTTTTTCTTCTTTGATATCTTTATTCAATGATGATTTTAAATCATTTTTTAATTTCAGTTAATATAAGTTTGTACTTGTGTACTTCGCTATTCATATTACTAATATATTTTTAAATAAAATGTCTTAATTATTTCTTAAAATCTTACCTAATAAATGTGCATATTTTTTATAAGTCGTTGCAGCTGCATTACAAACTCGTTGATGATTGAGTGTAGAAAATTCTTCAACTTTAGCAGCAAGAAATAAACAAGTTGGGCAAAGTAGCCATGGATCAATACTTTTTAATGGATATCTTGCATAAAATCTTTTTAAATACACGATTGCTGTCGCTATAACTTGTTGACGAACTTTATATTGTTCACCTATATGTTGAATTATATTTGAATAAAAAATAAGTATTTTTGAATAATCATCTTCTGTTATTAATGATGAATTATTATTTGTTGACCACGATGATATATCACGCAGACGAAATGACATTAATTCTTGACGATCAAATAGCCATTGCTCAAATTGTGAACTTTTCCAATAGGATGCAGCCATTACTATCTAAAACAATCATTCTTTACATATTTTGTTTCCAGTTATTAATGTATATCACAATTCAAGTTTTATTTTATATTTACGAAGAAAAAAATAAAAATGCTAATAGAGAAAAAAAACAAAGATTATTTGTATCCTTTATCGGAAAGTTCTTGACGAACACGAAATAAATATGTTGGATCTGGATAACCAAACCTAAAAAAGAAAAAGAATACAATTAAGAATTGTAATGAGACCATACAGATGAATTGCTTTTCTTTTTACCGATCAGGTCCACCATGAATACTTGTTTTATGATGAATATCATTCCAAGTGATAACATTGTCCTGACCACTTGTTGATGATCTTCCTATTGTAAATATATGTTGATCATCAAATGCTTTTTTTAATAATTTTAATACGTCTTTTCCTTCTTTGCTATTTGGCAAATAAGCTGTACGTGTTGTTCCACTGAAATGACTGCCTGGATTTGGATTAAGAGGACCTTGAATACCCGGTGGAAATCTATAAGTTATTTCAATTGTTGGTGCTTCATGAGATCCATATTTTTCATTTTCAAATCCAGGTAAAGGTATTGGAAGTAATTTGCATATCATTTGACCATTAGAAGGCTGAGGACCTAAATAATAGTAATTAATGCAGTAACATTTTTTGTTTTTATTTATGTATTGATATCATACCTTTGCTAATACCATAGACATATCCACAATTGGGACAAGATTGTTTTCCATTAGATTGAAACCACTGATTAATACATGATTTATGAAAAAGATGACCACATACATCAAGTTTATGATATGATGAACCCAGCTTTTCTAGACATATCATACAATCACCAACTTCTTCATTTGTTGAAGATTTCTTTGTATGCTCTTGTGATAGATATTGACCTATTTGGAAATAAAACTGTGATTTTTCTTTTTATTTCGATCGACAAAGCTAAAAAATGAAAACTTATTATTTGAAAAGTTTTGTCTCACCCATCTTATACGTTATATCGAAATGTTTTGTTTTAATTTCAAGGAGAAAAACAAAATATCTGATGACTCATCTCATGACAATCTTTCATGTAAGTTGGAAGAACAAGAAAGAAAAAAAAGAACTTCTTACTATCAATTATTTTTACGAACTATTTTAAAGAGAACTAACCTGAAATACAGTATTCTTTGTCGTCAACTTCCATAGGTGACGGATCGTCTCTATCCAATGCCATTTTACTGTTCATCGTTGATTGTTTGAAATCTTCATATTTCGTTTCCCATGTATGACATGTATATAACACTTGTTGAGAATTCGCCCCAAGAGTACGATACACACCATTCCACAAGTTTGTTTTACGGAATTGACATAATATACAACCATTCTCATAACATTCAGAACAGTGGCCATGTTCACCTTCCTTACAGTGAAAACTTTTATCACCAACCTTGATTCCACTACAACATACTAATATTACAGTTTATTAATTTTATTCATTAACTATATATCTCAAATGAATCACTGTAAGAATTGAGATATGTTCAGATTTCCGAAAAATTAAATTTTCAAAAATAACAAATTTCTCCATCACTATTAAACGACATACAAGAGTGTCAACAAAAATTTCCTGGAATTTCCGAAACTTGTTTCGTATACAAAGATAAATTTCCCGTTAATTTCGGAAATAACTCATAATATGAAAGCAAATTAGTACACAAAAGGAAATAGATTTTCTAGTAATTTTGGTAATTACCTGGACATTACGATCAATACAGAAATTCTTCTCATTCTTGAGGGTAGGGTCTTTAAATCTATATACATATTTATTCTTATACCTATACAGTATGAATATAGAAATTTTCGTATTTACCAAAATTTCCAGGAAATTTGTTAAAAAAGTTCTCTTCCTATGTTATGGTAGTTTGGAGATTTGCCAAATTTCCCTTGTGATGTAAATGCACTAGCAGTAATTTCTCTTTTTCATCCATGTAGTTTCCGAAATATGCATATTTAGTTAGGCCATTTCCTTTTTCGAAAATCTACTCACTGCCAGTTTTGGTTCAAATATCGAAATGTATTATAGTATCGATTGAAAAGAAGTCATCAGTGATTGATTTCAGTTTTCAACAGAGCGCAGACAGAATCATTTTTCAATACAAATCGTGCATATTATTAAATGGTTAAAGATAGGAGTTTTTTGTATGTTTACGAGTACTGACCATCTGAGTGCGCGTACTTCAAGTATTCTGCCCAGTTCTGGTGCGATATGTTCTAGAAATCCTCTTTGTTTGCTTACCACCACAAATTTTATTGTTACTTATAAATTTTGATCCATTCGTATACCAACACATTGGACAGTTCGATTGACATGTTCTATCATCAATAATACATTTACAACATAACTTGTGTTGACAATTATTTGTTACTCGGCTATCAGCTGGTTGATTAGCACACCATTCACAAAGTGAATCCATTAAACGTATCTAAAATATTTTATAGTATTGATAAATACATATCTAACTCGATAAAGAGAAAAAAGTTTTCTATTGACGGCTAAAAACGTCTATCATAGAACTAATTAGAGAAAAGTCGAATTTATTCGTGTCTGACTAATTTTTTAAGATTCGATACATATCGATTATAAGTCGATAACACAAAAAAAATAGGTAAATAATTGAAAAATATGAGACGAATCATAATTTACTTTGTTCATAATGAATTTACAATTATTTCTACGATGCGGGCAATACGGTTATTGTTTAATCTTAAGCCATTTTTTTCAATACAAATAAAATGAAAATAATGTCGATAGTCATTAATATTTTAGATTAAATCGTTACATGGAATGATTCCATACGACTTAATCACAATTTATAATCGGTTGCAATACAGTAGCTATATGTAATTCGACAGATAATAATTAATATTTTAAATTCAGTTTCCATGTTCATGATATGATCAAGAAAAGAAACATTCTTTGTAATTTTCTTTACAAATCGAGAAAGAAAATGTTGATCATAGACAATCTTTGCATGGTGGATGATTTTTCATATTAGAATAGTTTATGATGTCAAGTTAACACTAAATATAATTTGAAAACAAATTTTCGTTTCATTTCTTTAAATTTTGTAATAAGATCATGCCTACCGGCAAAAAGTAAAATAATGATTGATATCTATGACTGTTTACTTGACATGACAAATAAAAACGGTCGCTGGATATCTTCAGATTGACAATATATATATATGTATATTATTGAGTTTCAAAGTCTTTCGATTGAATAACATTAAGAATACATTATTCTTTCATGTAAAAGAAATTTTTTCTCAATCATACTAGTATCAGATCAGATTCGAAGAAAAAAAATAAGGTAAATTCCCCTAATGGTATTTTATGGAGGGACTAATAGAAATATCACGAGCACAGAGCACCATCTATTGAAAATTTAAACATCATCGACAGGCGAACTAAAAATATGATTTATAATGTAATGATAGTTTTGACAAAATTCTTCATTCGAGATGAAGATAAAATAAAGTATGCGTGTTGCTAGAGAGAGAAAACAGCTTCATATCCTTAGTAAGATTTTGTCTGTTTTTTAAATAATTCATCATGCATTTCTAGGTGAACGAAAATCTACACTGATTCAAGACTTTCCAGAGCACAAACAAAGTCTGAAACTTCTATTACCAAACTTACTACACTAGCACAGTTAAATCTAAACACATGTACACCCACAACATCAATCAATCGCAATTGTTGGATTGGCGAAGTGAGATATTTTTAAAAAAAAGCACACATCAACTAAAAGAGTTTAAAATGACAAAAGAAAAATACACCTCGAATTGACAGTAGGAAGCCATCTATTGAACCGACAGTTTACTGTTACTGATGAAAATTTTGAATTAGATGATGAGAATTATTGATAAAGCATTACGAATTGATAGACTAGGATGACTGAAAATTTTCATTTGATTTTTACTACCATAAAAAATGTTCTCTGGAAAAAAATAGCAAGAGTATCGTTAGAGTTAATCGACATTAAAAACTTGTATATCGAAGACAAATAACTCTTTTTTCGATAGAAAACATCTAATATCATTGTGACATTAGTGTGATTTTAGTCCAAAAGTTGATGTTGCACACCACTAGGCACAAAATTTAAGGCTTTGGCTAATAATTTATCACTGAGCCATACAGGTGATAGATATAAGATGTAAAAAATAACTTTCCCTTGCCAACCTGGTCGATAATGACTATGAGGCTTATGATTCATCACCGCATGCTTAATAGCTCCTACAACTCTAGAAGGATTATCAGCATTTATCATAAATCGACTATTCGTTGCTGTTGTAATAATATTATTTAAATAATTGATTCCCCAACGTTCTTGTACATCGATTGAAAGTCCATTCCATATATTTCTCAAGGTGTTTTCGTAGCCTTCCATCATGGGTGTTCGTAATGCGCCTGGTTCAATTACACTAACATGTAAATTCCATGGAGCCATTTCACGACGAAGACAATCTGAGAATGATTTTAATGCATATTTTGATGCTGAATATGCCGATGTATTAGGAAAAGAAAAGAATCCAGCTGCAGAAACTACATTAATTACACGAGAGTCAGATTTAGAAATAAGTAGAGATAAAAATTTCTTCGTCATAGCGACATGCCCAAAGAAGTTCACATTCATGACTTTTCGCATAGTTTCCATTGACGTCCAATCGATACAACCGTGTGTTAGAATGCCTGCGTTATTGACAATTGCATATAAATTGTTTGTCGTATTTTTGACTAAACTGTAGGCAGTATCAATATCTTCTGGTTTGGTAATATCAAGACGAAATACAGTAGCTTTCGATGAAAGTTGTTTTTTCAATAAGACTGCATTATCCTGAATAAGAACACCAGCAAAGATGTTAAAACCTTGTTGGTCGAGTTCTATTGCTAGTGCATGACCGATCCCTGAGTCACACCCAGTAACAAGAATATATTTATCGTTCGAATTGACGGAATTTGTTCGAAAAATATGTTGGTATAAATGATAAACCAAATAAAATATTATGATAAAAATAGTAATAAGAAACATAATAATCTAGCAATGATAATGTAGACAATGTGATATAGATGTTAACGAAGCAGTTGATAACAAGACAAAAGTTTTCTTCATAACATTTCATTCATTTAGAACAAATTTTTATTTTAAATAAAGAAAATTTGAAATGCCTTCTACCTTATACTATAACCAATTATAGGATTATCAAGACTATATTTGAGTATTTAACAAAGATTTTGTCTTCATTACAGACAATAGTGTTTGCTTCTTGCTTGGGATTATCGAAATTGAGAACGGGCACTTTTTATGAAATCTTCATGCTCAATCTCAACGTGCTGAAGATCTACAACAAGCTAATACGAGCTTGTTCAATGAAAACGTATTGATCAAATGCGATGAATAATCAATGGCCTAATTCTAAATTATAAGCAATCATCTAAGCATGCTGCATTTACATTTGAGATAAACAATAGTTGCCGTAAAAAAATCGAATAGATTAAGCATGTCGACTAAAACAAAACATGGCCCTCCTTAAAATGAGAAAATTTGACAAAACTAAATACATAAACACGTATAAATGTGCATGTCTATGTACGTTTCGATCGAATAATGCATCAGCAACGATCAACACGACTTATTGTGCGAGAAATTCGATGTGCAACAACAACAAACAACGTGTCATGATACCGATCTTTCGATGAAGCTTTCTTCTCATTCGTTGATAATTTATTTCACTTGCCGCAATGCATATCTTTCATACGTTGAATTTAGCTTGTGCTTATCAGTAGTTTTTTTTCTGGGGTTGTACTTGTTCTATTAGTACATTTTTATCAGCTGAATAGAATACAAGCCATAGCACACTTGAACGAAGTATATCGTGACGATGGCCGAGTTTCTAAGTCCAATTTATTAGTTTGGCATTCTAGAGTGCAGAGATGGGCAAGTCAAGTCCGTCAAATATGACTGGACTCAACTTGACTTGCCCATCTCTGCTAGAGTGGTATTTTCATTTCGTTTATTATGCGTGAAAAGTAAGACTCAATCAACATACCAACAGGATGACGAATAAACTAGGTGTTGAATTTATGATCTAATCTACAGAAAAGTTTACGTTCATTGAGCACATCTGACCGTACCAAGAAAGTCTATCTTCGTGAATCTTTCAACATTAACTCGTGCAAATAAGTGAATTCGTTCTGAATACGTATACAATAAAACTACTGCAATTTCATTTCAACTATCTTGAATTTGGTCGAAATCGACGACCCTCACTTTTATATTGTCATCGTCAACCTCATCTTACTTTCGACATTTTCCATTGCAATCAAATTAATCTTTATCAAAAGAAACCAATTGAATTTCTTTTTTGAGAAAAGCGGATGTAAATCAACTTAATAACTAACATCAGGTGCCATCTTACGCCAGCGGAATTAAATCAAACAGAATGACGAATCTTTTGCAATCAATTATCTGATAGATTGGCAGTAACTTTCGCTTAGCTTGATAAATGTACTTTATCAGATACTTAACGCAAGATTTTGATCGAATCAAAATACTTACAATACTATTGTATTATGAGTGCAGATTCATTATGGCACTATCGAATAGCTACATAATTTAAATACATAGAGTAGTTAGAACTTTTGCATAATCAAAATCAATTTCAAGCTTCTTTAGAGACTAACAGAACTGTCAAAGATTTCAAATTTCAAAATGATCATGCTATGGTTTTGTTATTGACACGAATTTTTAAGACAGTATTTTACTATTCGTCGGCAATGGATCAATCTTTATGCAATGTGAAGGATGCAAAAGTTGGCAAATCGTATACTTAAACTGGTCGATCAAAGTTTTACAAATGATAAAATTTCAATTCTATTTATCACGATTTTTACAGATTTAGACGAGAAATTTCTTAAAGCAAAACAACATTTTATACGTTGATAGTGACATGCATAGTCGTTACACTTTAATATTAGTATTACTCATGGATCATCAACTTATTTCGTTTTCGGCTTTTATTTGATCTATCCAAATGTTCTTGTCTGTGTTTTGACAAAGATTTACATATTCCAATAGCCATGAAATTGAATAGACTGTTATTTTGCAATTGCGTATAAAGTAGAACTATCTGTATTAGAATTAAACAAGCTAGTTTAATGAGTATCAAAGATAAAATTAACTTTCATTCGTCATATAATATGACGAGATTTCGCTTTTTTTTACTATCGAAATAAGTGACCATGGTCAAACTTATTCGTAGGACAGTGTATCTCAACAGACAGAATGCCAGTCGTATCGAATCTAAGTTAGGGGTTTGGCCTGTCGCTTACTAGACTGTGGTGTTCGGATTAATCGTTGAGTCTTGTAAATATATGTATCGAATAATTGTGTTAAATAGTTTAATACACAAATTTTTTCTCAAATATTTTCGAAAGGAATAACTAGTTACTGTTACAAAAAAAAAATGTTTTGTGTAAATATTTATTTTTTCGCACTTTACCCACATGAAATAAAAATCTGTTAAATTTAAAAGAAACTATTTGATAGTTGAAGAGAAACTGTTTCCGCGTACGTTTCAGACGTTTTGTTTTTCAACTTGTTGTTAAACTCGATGCTTTTACTTTTGTACTAAATCGGAAGAGCAACTAATGAACTTTGGTATATTCAATAAGGGTAAAGTTGGATATAAATGAAAAGTACAGATCGATGATACAAATTTTCTTTATTATTTAGTTGTAGTGATGTTGATTAAAATTAAAATGAATTATTTTCCAATGAAAAAGCTCTTCTAAATAGATCGAAATAAAAGGCTGAAATGCAAAAAAGGGTAGTGATGAAACTTGAACTAGAATATGTTTCGATCTTTTATGGATTATATTATGAATAAAATTGTTATAGAAATGTTTACGTGAATAAATGCTTTGAAAAGTCGCTGTATCAACCAAAACTTTTCCATTCACGTGCAGAGGGAAAATACCGTGCATATATTTGAATACCCTACTGAATGTGCACACAATATGATTGTTCATTGTTTGTTCTTGATTTTTGTATTGCATCGTTTGTAAGAACGATTGGATTTTTCTGTGTAAACACGTAAACGGCAAGGGACCATGTTCTACATATTTTTTTATGTTTTTCGTCTTTTTTTTGTAGAAATAAGATGCTGAAAAAGAGCCAGGTGATATTTAGAATGCGTTCGATTGTTGTTTGAGCGCTGGCTGGCACATTCTATCACTTCGGTTCTCAACCAGTTAAAATAGCTTTCTATTTTTTATTTTAGAATATAATTTTCGAAATCTTCAACATTAATATTTGTGATTCCACAAATAATTTTCTTTTCATTATCTCATTATCGTCAACAATTATTGATAGATGTATAATAGTTGTTCAGCCGATATGCGTTAAGTTTATAATTGAATTTATGAGATTATAATAATCTACAATGACTTCAGTGGAACATAGATCGACAGTGTTGAACTTTCCAGTTTCAGACGATCAGCCAAATACTAATCACATCGAATGTTCACATAAAGTACCAGTAAAGTCCGTGTCAATAATCTCGAGGCATATTTCACAACTATCTCTTCATTCTCGACGATCATCAAAACAAAGTAATGAGACAATAAGTGAGAATAAATTGCGTCAGAAATCTATGCAGAAAAGAAGATCTGGCAAAATTTTATCCATGGAATTGGTGAGCTATCGACTAAGTAGACGAAAAAAGTTGCATGCAAAATGGTGAGAAAATATTTTAGTGTTGATATAGTGCAATTTTTTGTCGCTATAGTCGTCAAGTAAATGATATTATGTGTGCTCTTGGTTTTTTGGGTATCATTCTTATGATTATTGATAATGAAATAACTTTTGCGCGTTTCGATCATCACGAGACAATCTCTACTTGGCTTCTCAAATTGACAATTACAATTTCGAGTATGGTTCTTATTGGTCTTGTTCTCTACTATCATTATTACGAAATTAATCTCTATTGTGTTAATAATTCCATTGAACATTGGCGTGTTGGATTAACAGGCAAAAGACTGCTTTCTATTATGTTAGAAATAGTGATCTGTAGTATTCATCCTATTCCTCGACATTTTCCCATTGGTCAATATTCACACGATGAAAGAAATATCGCAAATTCAACAAAAAACTACCAGTCTACAGCAATACCAATTGCCTTAACATATGTACCTGTTGATGTTGCACTTGGTTTGCCAAGTAAGTCTATTGTTTACTTTTCTTCTAAGAAATGATAAATAATTGATATGTATTTCGATAGTGTTTGGCCGTCTATATCTATGCTGTCGTTACATCACATTTCATTCACGTTTGGTTCGTGATACATCACTACAATCGCTTGGTTATCTAAACAAAATATCTCTTGATTTCATCTTCGTTATTAAAACTTATTTTCAACAATGGCCAATACGTTGTTTAGTTATATTTTGTACAATGGTTTTTCTTATTGGAAGTTGGTCATTGCGTGCATGTGATATGATATCAGAGAATGAACATATATCGATTTTTGCTGCTATGTGGCTATTTATTGTAACATTTACTACTGTAGGTAAGTATCGAATTGAAATCTGATAAAGAACAGAGAAAAAGAACAAGTTAGTTCTTGCTTACAGGTTATGGTGATGTAACACCTGCTACGTATTGTGGGCGAAGTAAGTTAAATTTTATTCACAAATAAGTTATTTTTTTGTGATAGTTCTTTAATTAAAAACTACATTCGATTAATTGTGATTTTACATTTATAATCATTTATCTATAGTCGCAAGAATAGACACTGTTTGAACAATATTTTTCGAATCATGATTTAGACGCCAAAAAAATATGAAAGAAGAACGTTTCGCTTAACAAATGTAGTCAATGCTTCTTTAAAGCAAACCTAATTTATATTATATCTAATTTTCATAATTAAAACTACTAATTAATGATCATTTGAATTATTAAAATAATTAGGTGTGGCTACTATTGCAAGTATCATTGGTATTTTGGTCAGTGCTCTTCTGATTGCTGTTGTCTCTCAAAAACTTATTTTGTCCCGATGGGAAAGATATGTTCATAATTTTGTTTTGAACTGTGAATTAGCCAAAGCGCAGAAACATCAAGCAGCGAATATTATTATAAATGCGTGGAAAATGTGGCGTCTTACGAAAATTCATAAATACAATTCAATTGAGTATATTCAATCACAACAAGCATTCTTCAAATCGATAGATGGCATTAAATATATTAAAAAGAAACAACGGAAATTAAATGATAATCATATTACCGGTCTACCCGAATTACTGATGATTCAACGTGATACAAGTACTGTATTGGATCAATCCCTGGAACAGATGAATACAATGAAACGAAAGATAGACAGCGTTGATGAAAAGCTTGATGCTGTAAATCAAACAGTACATCATATACAGAACACACTTAGCCTTTTATTAGATAGAATTACACCCTTGAAAAGGGTATAGAATTTATCTACTTTTAAATAAAATATGATTTATTGTGCTAGTTGTTTGCGAATAATTATTCTTACTTACATGTACAGGTGGTTAGCAAGTAAAGATTGGCAACACAAATATTTGACGTAAGTACTGAAACATGCTTCGTTTCGAAATAAGTAAGAACCGTAACTTTGACAATTTTGATTTGTTTTGATATCATAATCTTAAAGTGTATAATGATTTCGATATCATATGAAATCACTCTCAACTCCAAGAGTGAAGATTTGATTTAGTACACCTTGTCTTTTTCAGAATGTAACAGTAATATGTCATCTAGTATTGAATTTATTACACACTCGGAGATACCACAAAAAAATATAAGTCTTTAACTTTTAGAATAAGATTAGTTTCTATAGAATCGAATTTGCCGTACACTTTAAAATGCTATCTATAGATTAAATGTGAATACACTTTTTGTTTTTAATACTGAATAAAGTGCCTTTGAGCAAGTAGTCGTACCATAACTGTGACAATATTTTGATATCATTCATTGCCGTTTCATTTACTGCATTTCGTGATTTGTCTGTTATATTATACTTAAACAAATCCTTAATTTCTTTTTCAATAACAAAATAGTGAATACAGAATGCACTTTGCTTTATCATCATGATTTACCTGATTTCTTTCTTTAAAATGTTTTGAATTGCTATAATTATTTTGGATAATGCCTCTCTTTATAGATTTTCTCATGCTGCCTTGAAAAACTATCGAAAATGAAGCTATTAGATTATTCGACAATGATCAAGAACATGAGACCAAGTTGTGAAACAACCAAATAAAATCTGGGTTAAACATATTACTGTAGGATATTTGAAATTCAACGAATTTTATAGCATTTTTGCCGAAGTCCTCTGATCAACTAAAATTAATCGATCATGAAATTATATCATATTAATAATTCTGAAGATATCAAATACGAACAAAGTATACGTAAACGTATTGATCGAATTATTCATTGAAGATTACAAATTCGAAAATTAAGAACAATTTATTTTAACGAAGGATATTCTTCTTGTATTATTAGTTTATATAAAGAAATAGTAAAAAATATTAAAGAAATTTTTCAATCATATGGTTATCATTTTGAGACTAAATTTATTTTCTATTATGAACATAGTTATTGATATTTATGGAGATCTTATGTAGAATAATAGAATTGAGTATGGCGTACATCCAAATGGAGGGTGTGGGTGGTCGAGACTCCTAGAGTGCGTCTCCCGTTGTACTCCAATTTTGTTTTGGAGTAGAGTTAGTCTCAAAATTCGCTTGAAAAAAAGCAGGTTTCTTTCTCCAATTCAGTTGATCACACGACATATTGATTTTATTGTCAAGTAAACTGTTTCTTTCTGTTAATGCAAAGTAACAGCTACTATTATAAAGAAGAAATGCTATACATATCTAAACAATCGAAAGAGTTAACATACAAAAACAAATTGCCCAGTGTGAAGTATAGCTATTCCATTACTACTAGTCAGACAAACGTAATGATATTCACTGATAGGAAAAATTAATATAGCTATTAGTTTTGAATAAATCTTGGTCGAACTTATGACATTAAGATTAATAGTCTCACGCTGTATACCTACTCAGCTATTGGGATAGCTGCAAATCTCCATTGCATAACTGATCTACTGACAGAGATGATCTTGATTGACTTGGGACCTTCCTTTTCTGAAAATAAGCGAGAATATAAATTTTTTGTAAGCATTTTCATTTTGAATTTCACTGGATATATGAATATTATTATATTTTTAGAAATCTAATAACTTGAAGAAGATTTCTTCTATTCAATATGATGAATGATTTTAAATAAAATTGTTCAATTAGAAAATGAATGAATCTTTGATTAAATATCCTTCATCATAAATATTATTTATCAACTCATATATAAATCTATAAGATGCATAAATTATTGTTCAATATCTTAATATGCACAAAATGAAGCTTCGAATATTTTAAAGCTATAAAATATGTTCAAATATCTGTTTATTAAGAAAATAATGATGAAAGATATTGTGATTTGTGTCACACATGTGCAAGCCCGGCTAGCTCAGTCGGTAGAGCGTGAGACTCTTAATCTCAATGTCGTGGGTTCGACCCCCACGTTGGGCGTAATTCTTTTTTTCTTCTCTTCCACTGCATTATATTTATGTAAGCATCATTACGTTAGCAAAATGTGTTCGTTCGCTTTTTTCTATTCCCAAAAATACCGTCATTGATCAAAAAATGTTTTTTTTTACATAAATAGAGTAGAACCTAAATTTCAAATTAAAAAAGCATAAGAAACATAGGTTGCATCGCATTGATGATTATTTCCTTTGTAATTTCATATAACTAATACAAATACAGATATAGACTGAGAAAAATTTGTGTGAAATCAGAATTGTGTTTCATTAGTTAAGAAAACGAAATACCATTGCTTTATCCTTTATTCTATTCGAAGCATGCTTATCATTTCGTCAATTCATATGTTGATGATGTGAGTAATTGTGATGAGTATACTTTTTGATTTTATAATTTATTTCCTTTGATGTATTAATTGGTTACTTGAAAATCAATAAAATAAAGAGAGATCTTTTGTATAACTTACTGACAATAATCAAAATATAAGTAAATGAATTAAATATATTATCTAATAATTCTGAAGAATAGAAGTTATGACTATATGTAGTTTAATAGAATTCTATCGTAAACTATTAGTAGTACACAAAAGCTATTCATTTTAATTATATTTATCGTCATGTATTAATTTATTTTATATGTACTTACACTATATATCGACCTAGATTTTTTACTAACATTTCTTTTTCTTAGTTTATTATATTTCTAGTGTTTTGGTATCGTATGTTTGATTTATGCTCATGCCAAAATTGCTATTCTAAGTATCATATAGATTTCTTTTTCATTTAAACACAACGGTAATATTATCTAGGCAAACGTTTTCACTTATTATTATGATTATTATTGTTGATTCGTGTTCAATTTCAATTGTGTATATATCAATATTTCCTTTTATTTTCTACAATTATATTCTTATGAAAACTATTCATACGATTAAATAAAATAAATTTTTTATCAAGTGTTAATTGGTCTACGATATTACATATAATAAGTACATACGCTATTCAAGTGTTATCTGCATTAACTTATTTAACATTTAAATCAACTAATACTCAAACACAAGAAAACGATGATAACTAGTAATTAAATTGAAATTCACATGAGTATGAAGAAAAATCAACAAATGCATGAATTCTACTCAACTTATCAATATGAATGATAAAGGATGCTTCGTTGTCTTGCAAAAGATCCGTTAAGATATTCAGATAAGAAGTTTTAGTGGTGTTATAAGACAAGACATAGGAATGGGTGCATAAGCGTATATGTCGTAGTAGTCTCTCTTATCATCCACAGAAATCAGTACGCATATGAATTGGTGCGTCAGCGTCTGTTCATGATCATTGAAATGTTGAAATGGCTTTATTATATGAATTAGGATATTAAAATACTTAATACACCATATTTAGAGTAGATATATGAATTATCCTAGAGCTGTAAAAAAAAGTCCTACATTTGTGACAATCATAATTATGGTAGCACAAAATAGCATTTTATTATATTTATGAAGACATGGAGAAGAAGAATGTTCGATTAGCATACTGGATTTCTATTAGGCTCTCCAAGGCTAAAGCATTGACGAACTCGTCTGTATGTTCCTACTCGAGCCATTTGATTGCTAAATCCTGGTCCTCCATTGCATTCCAATGCGCCGTTGATGATTCGAGTCGTAGCTGCGAAGTCACCTTGTTTAGCGGGTCCAGCCATATTATTTGCATTATAAAACCAAATTGCAGTTTTCACTGCTAAATCTTGTTGTTGTTCGACCAAATCCGGATTGTTAAGAAGATCTACACCTAAAGCTCGTCCAGCTGCATGATAGTTACACGGCCAAGATAATTGAAACCAGCCACGTCCATAGTAAAGTTTGTTGGGTACACTCTGAATATCACACCATGATCCAGCATAATGAGAGCCACAACCTAATTGATATTCAGATCTGATTGAAATGCTCAAGACTTTTTCCTTGAAATTTCTTTAGAATTTTAAACCTATTTATCAGTTTGCATAAAATAAAAAAGATACTCTTTTATGATTGTTGAAACTTGTTTTATAGGAAAGATGAGGTAAAGGTACAATCGATCTGAGCTTTGCTAGTTGCCTTATACTTGCTCTTTAGTTGTATCTCTACACAGTTTTTCTAGCATTCATACATCTTGAAAAATCTTACAATAAAAAATTATACCTACAATGTGTTCAAAATCTACCAATTGTTAATGAAATGCTTTTAAAATAAGACGTTACTGTTAAATATTTACCCGGAGCACAATATTCTCTGATTGTTTTCAGACCATCTGTCTCGTGAAATACGTGAGCAAGAAAAACAGCAGCTTCCTCCTTGTTTGATGGTTTCCAACCTGAATTTCTAAGACCCGTGAGTCGGCTGAATCTCGTTCCAGCATCAATGGTATTGAATACACACGAAAAACTTTGTTCCGTAATAATAGAACCATCATCAGTGTTGCCATTATTACCGTTTCCCCCACCTCCGCCGTTATTACCACCCCAACAAGGTCCTCCTTTACAACCATCGCCACAGAATGCTTCTCCAGTTCCACAATAATCCCACTTTGACATACACATAGTAGACTCGGGGCACACAGAACTTGGGTTCACTATGATAGGACTTCCACCACTATTACCACTCGAACAAGGGCCTGATGTACAGCCGGTACCACAATATGATTCTCCGTGTCCACAATAGCCCCATTGTGATGCACACATGGTTGAATCAGGGCAAGTCGCACGTTGTCCAACAATACGAGAAACATTCGTTTCTTGTTCATCAGAACTACCATGAATTATAGGGATTAAACCTACAACAATTACAGACAGTAGTAAACAAATATGCATATATCGACTTGTCGCCATCGGTTCCACAGAGAACGAGTAAAATCTACAACTAACATGTATATGTAGTCGATGTGATAAAATAAATATGTTCACGTATTGAATTTGAATACAGATGTTTTTTTTTCTCACGTTCATTGAAACTTGCATTTTTTATATCTATATTCGACTAAAAATAAAAAGCCAACAACAAAAAAAATCTCGTTTAGGCTGAAAAATTGTCTGATAAGAGAATATCAACAGCTGTTTAATCAACGATTGAAGTCATATGTTGTGCATGATAATGTTTCGTACCGTTAGAAAAATATTGCACAATTTTTATCTATATAGAGCTTCATTGTAGAAGTTGAGAGTGTACGTGTGAGGGTGTGTGTATGAGTGATTTGTGAACAGTTGTGACTTCATACTCAGATTCATTTCCCAATCGATAGTCACAATGATACTCATAGTCGTATTTCCTGTTCTACTTTTTGAGACCTCAATACAGTACAGGTTTTTCAATAGTTAATACATACTCTTGTAACTATTGATAAGCTACAGATTTTGGACACCCTCAGCAGGTTTTCGCTCTCTTAGGTAGTAATAAGATTTTGCAATAAAAAACAAAGCATCTACTGATTTGCGTCAGACATCGGCCAGAGACTACTATGGATACGCAAAGCAATACATAACGGGTTTTTTTGTAAAACCTTGAAAACACATCATTCTTTTCATATTAAATTGCATAATAAATTTTAATTTTAACATTTATCTTAAAGTAAATAGTTCATTTTATATATGAGTGAGAAAGTTGCGCTGCTCGAATTATCCGTACGAACATAGTAGTCGTCACTATATTTATGTACATATATAAATATGTTGCAGTTTGTCTGTGCATTCTTTATGTAAGAAAAACAAATTGTAAAATCTTTCATTATTGCAGCAGAAAACGGACGCTTTCTATCATTTCGGAGTGACTCTTCAAGAACTTGATTGATTTTTATTCATTCTATTATCTTTGCACAAGTTCTTACTACTAATGTGACACCCCATCATATTGGTGGGTAACCTTTATACTTGCTGAAACAAATTAGCGCATGCAATTTTTAATATGAGCAAAGAATGGAATGTCGAACAGCGACAGAAAATAGATTTACACTTACGTATGCTTGAATAGCGTTGTTATTGGTTCTATAAACGATTTTCTAGTTCTTGGTAAAGATAGATATGAAAAAAACGTTTTCGCCGTTGTTCAAGAATTTAATCATGTGAATATATGATTGTGACATTTTCAGGAATACAGATACGAAATTTTTTCTGATTCTGATATCTTCATAGCTCATGTAAATACTGTTTGATAAAGATCTTGAGACTAGCAGTACGTGTCAGAATGCTCTTATTATGCATATCCACCAGATCAGTATACCAAAATTCTAGAAAAACTTCTTTTCTTAAATCGTTTTACTCTTATCCATATCTATCTATCTGAGATCCAGTTATGATAACACTTTCATTGAATATAAGGTTGGATATAGAACTTAGATAACAATATCTATTCTGTATAAATACTAGAAAATTTTCTACATCAATTCATGCTCGGTTGAAGAATACTGATTGATCAGTAAAAACGAAATCAAAGTAATGTTTCACTTCGATTATATATAAAGGGACGAGGATACGTGATTATAATTTCATTTACAGTAAATAAGTTTCAAGTGCAACAAAATACATTTATTGTCTTTTTTTAATATAAACAATATTTATTTAAATTCAATAGAAGACAAACAAACTGCTCTAGGATGATTTAAATATCATCATGGATTCATCATCAAAATCATGTTCTCGATCAACTATAATTCTGGAAGTTGCATTGTTTTTTGATCCTATTAATAACCGAACACTGACTGATTTTTGTATAACTTCTTCGGCAAAAAATTGAGCCATATAAATACGCATTGGATCAATGCCAAGAAGACTAACACATAAACTGATAATCTATTTTTTTGATAAATAAATATATTGTCAAACAATGAAAATCAAACAAAACCTTATCATGAATTTGTGAATTCATTCCATGACAAAACATTTTCGATGCTGCAAGAATTGTAGCTGAGCCAAGTAATAACGGATCACGAAATCGTTGAGTAACACTTTCCCTAATATCATCAAGAAATCATTATCGACATAGAAACAAAATAAATATTAATTTTTTTGCATACATTTGTATTTTATTCACTTTCGACAATCCACTTTCTTTTTTTGCTAAAAGTTCAATAAGTAATGTCCATTGTAAATAAATATGAACCAGTAAAAGCATTGATGCATTATGTAAACGTTCACTAATCATTTTTATTTCACTATCTAAATTCTTTCTGTTCTTTTCTTTTCCTTTTGAAGAAAATAAATAAATAAACCTACTAAGAAATCGAAGAAAATGAGATATAAATATATGAGGAGTATATCGTGGAAACATATGATCAATTGTTGTTAATATTTGAATTTGAATTTGAATCAATTGATCGCGATTTAATGTTGTTACTTTTGTCATATTTGGATCCATTCGTGTAAGTTCATGAAAATATTCAATTAAACGAGGAGTATCAATGGGTTGATCCTATAAAAAATATTATTTTCTTTAAATTATTCAAAATTTTACTGGCAAGCTAAACTGGAACTCAACAATATTTCTCTAATTTTGATATATATATATGCGTGTGTGTGTGAAAGTTCAATGTTCAATGTAGAAATAAGTAATGGAAAATTGAAATAAAGATCAATCATATTAATTCGAAACTACTGACGGCTTCTTATTGTCTCGTAAAAAGAATTATACTGCTGATTTAAATACAATTTGAAAAACAAACTAAGGACTACTGATGCGAGTCAGATTGTTTCAAACAAAAGTTTAAAATAAATAACATGTTTATCAGAAAGCAGAGTATTTTTCATCTTTAGGACACAGCATTCACCTGGTGTTATACGAGGATGTCCACATTGTGTTCTCTTGACTTTTCTCATAACCTAATGGTTGAGGTAATTTTCTTTTTTTTTCATTTATTTTTAATTAATAAACAGAATAGAATCTTCAGAAATCTATCAGAAAAAGACTGTACTTTCGATTTCGATTTGGAAAAAAATAAGGATAAAATATGGATTTCTGATTATAGTATTGACTCGTCAAGAGATGGCAGTTTAAATAAAAGAAAACAGGAGACAACAATCATCTAATTCTCTTTTATCTCGTTGTTGGCATGTTCAATTCAGGAATTGTAAGACAAGAATAATAAAATGAATAGCATACACAAATTTGTGTGGCAAGCTGAAAACAAGCAGTCGCAATAATGTATTTATCTTGACAATATTTTTCCTTTATTGATTCATATTGATTCTTGAGGCTTTTTTGATCTTTACCGATTGAATGGCTTGATTTTACCATTGAACAAATTAAATATCTAAAAAAAACGCACATTCATAATAACAATAAACAGTTTTTTCAAAATAATCTTAGAAACCTATTCAAAAGTTCAATAGAAGTAAAAAATACACGATCATCATATTCAACTTGACATGTTAGCATATAGAAAAATGAAGCCATCGTTTTATTACAAAACTAAATATAAAATAAAAATGAATATTAAAAGAACAAACGGAAAACTTTTACCATTAGAGATTTTCGACAATTGAATCGATAATCATTTTTACATTCAACGATAAATAATTTCAGATATTCACACTCAACCATTGCTAAAATAACAAACTCAGATTTTCTTTTAAGAGCCAACGGTTAAATTTCGAGGTTATTGTACAAAATAAGAGACTATAAAAATCGATTCTAGTGACACAAGTCGCTCATATTCACATATATATGTATGTATGTGCATTTATTTATTTATTTATGCACAACGTCGTTTTCTATTCGTTGATATTTGTCAGCGAATAGAATTCAATTATTATTCAGTATTTAAATCCAATCGTGTGGTGTCTTAACATTCATTTCCAAACTTTCATATACACGAAGAAGGTTAGAAGTTATGGTTCTGTTTCTTCAATTAATTATTTTATTGTATTTTAGAATCTTTTTCGGTTGTTGGCAATGAGCGACAGTGAAGAAGTTCGTTATGAATTATATGAAAAACGTATTAAATCTTGTTTCTTTTCCGTTTGTATTAGCATAAAAATGATATAAGAAAAATGAAATCAAAAAAACGAAAAACATCCGATGACGAAGAAGAAACAGGAACACCACAAGAAGAAGAAGACGATGAAGAAGTAGAAGGAGACGAGGACGACGAAGAAGAGGTCAGATTTACATGTTTGCCATTAAACATATTGATTGTTTAATTTTTATAGGACGAAGATGACGAAGACGATGATGAGGTTTCTTTCAATGAATTTTTCTTGTGTTTAATAAATGAATAAACATTGTTTCTTGCGATTTATTATTTTAGGATGAAGAAGAAAATAGAAATAAGAGAAAAAAAGGAAGTTATCAACAAAAACGAAAGAAAAAGAAGATTTCTGGAAAAAATTTCATTATTGATGAAGCTGGTAAAAATGATTTTTTTTTTTATAACAAAAAAGCGAATAAATCTACTTCTCATTTTAATAGATGTTGATGACGATGAAGAAGAAGAGGAAGAAGAAGATGCACCTGAAGAAGGTTTTGTTGAACAAACAGAAATTCATGATACAACAGCAGCTGATATTTATCGAGCTGGGCGATCCAAATTTTCACTTCCTGAAGAGTTCGTATTCGTTACAATTCTAAACTAGTAATATTCTTTTCTTCTCCTAATAGTGGAATGGATCCAATTGAAATGGAGAAATATATCAACGAACGTTATGGCCCAAAAGGTCGAGGAACGCGCGGTGATTACGATGAATACAATGATGGAGAACAAGTTCCAGATGAAATCACACAGCAGAGTTTATTACCTGATGTTAAATCACCTAATCTTTGGCCAGTTAAATGCAGAATTGGAGAAGAAAGGCAAACAGCTTTACTACTTATGAGAAAATATCTTTCTCTAGAAAATAATGAAAAAGTAAAGACAAAAAAAAACTCGTAATTCAAATATAAAATTATATTTTTAAGGCGTTACAAATAAAATCAGTTGTTGTGAAAGAAGGTGATCGGGGTTATATCTATATTGAAGCATTCAAGTCAAATCACGTTAAAGCAGCATGCGATGATATACGTTCATTAAATGTTACAAATCTTCAAATGGTACCTATCAAAGGAATGACTGATATACTTCGAGTTGTCAAAACAACATATGGAATTAAAAAAGGTTCATGGGTACGTGTTAAACGTGGCGTTTACCGTGATGATTTAGCTAAAGTTGAACAATGCGATATGGTACAAAATTTGGTCACCCTTAAATTAATACCAAGAATTGATTACAGTAGAAAACGTGGTGGACCAAGAGGAATATCCAACGATCAAAGTAATATTGTACCTGAACCACATCAAGCAGCGAAGAAAAAAAGTCGCTTCGCTTTCAAAAGACCACCAGCAAAATTATTTGACGAAACAGCTGTAGAGTGAGTATTTAACTACAAATAAAATAGTTCATGGGAAAAGAATCTTTTTTTTTATAGAGCTGCTGGTGGACAAATCAAAAGAGATATTGAACATAGATCGTTTGAAGGTGGAAAGTATGATGATAAAGGTTTCCTTATCAAGAATTTCCCACTTGTTGCTGTTGTAAGTAAAACGTAGATTTCATCATTTTACTTGTTTTTCGTGAGTCACAGTGTTTCCATCCTAGATATATGATTGATTGAGTAGCATCTCTTATGGATCTAATCAACTTGAAGATATACATTATCTTGATACGATAAAGAGCTTTGATGAATTGCAAAATAAATCTAAATATTTAGGCTAACCAAGATGACGATCTGGTGATTTGAAACTTTTTTTAAACTTAATGCCATAGCCACGCTTAGAAAAACACAAAATAATCGAGTTTATTTATTGAAATATTGTGCTACAACAGATATCAATGAGAATCGTGTTTTGGTGAAGTGTGAGATCTTTTGATTCAAATCTATACAAGATCTGCTTGAAATAAACGGATCTTTGAAGTAATAATTACATATGAAATAAGTAATCTCAAGTTCTTGTTACGAGATAGAAACTAATCGAAGAATGTGAAATTTTGCTAAAAACTATTCTCATCAAGTTTTAAATGTATTATACTTGAGAATCGGTGAGATAGCATAACAATCGACATATGATTGTAACGAAATGATTGCTACGAGATCCATATTCAGTTTTTGCAAGCATCGTATTGATCCAACTTGTTTTCTAGTGAAAAGCATTCTTCATGTTTAAAACATAATCTATCTTCAGATAGATTGAATATTATACCGATTTTCATTCATTTTATTTTATGCGATATCTAATGAATTCGATTTTGATCAGTTTTAACTTGAAAATCAGATGAGATAAAGTCATAAATCAATTATACTGAGATCTATGTATTCTTTTGTTCAATGATCATCTGTAATATATTTGATGAAAAATATTTTAAATTAAAATCAATTTTAGTCGGCTGATGGTATTACTCCAAGTATCAGTGAGCTGGATAAATTTGAAGAAACACTTGATGGGCCCGAATCTAATGGTAAATTTCTGTTTGAAAAAATTGTTTTTTTTTTGAATAAAGCACGAACATTGTTTTGTTGTTTATTTTGCTAAATTTTAGTTTCCATCAACAAAAGAAAAACATCAAAAAATGATTTATTATCATTTGCACCTGGTGATCATGTAGAAGTATGTGAAGGTGAATTAATAAATTTACAAGGTACAATTGTTGGTATTGATGGAGATTCAATTCGAATATTGCCAAAACATGAAGCTCTAAAAGATGAAATTCCATTCAAAGCCCATGAATTGAGAAAATATTTTTCCGTCGGAAATCATGTTAAAGTATTAAGTGGAAGATTTGAAGGTGAAACTGGCATGATTGTAGGCATTGAAGGAGCAAAAGCTGTTGTTTTAAGTGATGGAACCAAAGATGAAGTTAGTCAGCCAAGTAAAAATAAAAAATAAAAAAATTATATGATGCATTTAGATGTCCGTTCGAACATCTGACCTTCAAATTACTAAAGAAACAGCAACAGGTGTGGATTCAACAGGACAATTTCAACTTAGAGATTTAGTCAATATATCGTATGTGTTTATTGAAGGAGAAAGAAAAATGAAAAAGTTTTCGAATTTTTTACTTGTTTATTTACAGAGCCGATAAAGTTGGTGTTGTTGTACGTATTGAAAAGGAACGTTTACATGTATTAAATATGGATGGAAAAGTTCAATTAGTTCCGATTCAATCAGTAACTAAAAGAAAAATAAATCGAAATGCAACGGCACTTGATTCACAAAATAATAATTTAAATGCTGGAGATATTGTTAATGTTAATGATGGACTATTTGCAGTAAGAATTTGAATATTTCTTCTGTTAACTAATCTGAGCTTGATTTATTTTTTCTTGTTTCTTTCAGAATCGTCAAGGTCAAATAAAACATCTTTATAGACATTTCGTTTTCATATTTTGTCGAACACTAACTGAGAATGGCGGTTTATTTGTATGTAAAGCAAGAAACTTATCATTAGCTGGTGGAGCATCAAAAGTTTCATCGGGACCATTATCAATTCCAATGAATGCTCCTTATATGTCACCACGTGTCACATCCTCGCCGTCTCCACATACATTATCCGGCGGTTCTTCATCAATACATGGAAATAGTCCAGCATCAGGTGGTGGACGAACGCCTAATTCAACTGGAGGTGGTGGGCCTAAGTCACAATCGTCATCATTAAATAATATTCGTCGTGATACAGCTTTAATTGGACAAACAGTTCGAATTTCACAAGGGCCTTATAAAGGTTATGTTGGTATTGTTAAAGATGCAACTGATTCAACATGTAAAATTGAACTTCATGCCAAATGTCAAACGATTACTGTTGATCGAAATCGAATTGTATCAACAACGTAAGTTTCCTTGTCTCTTAGCAATTTGCTCTGCACCTTAAATAATTCGCGAACAAGAAATTAGTATCCATTAAGTTGAAATCTAATTAGATTCTATAAGAATGTTATATATTTATTCCTGTTGTCGAGATGATACTGAGAATCGATGACTAACTACTAGGAAATAGTATGACTTTCAGTCCTATCAAAATCACTTGAATTCATTTCAACTACCGTAGTTTACAGTCGGATGAGACGAGAATTCTTTTTCAACGCTGAACAGAGTTGCATGTATCGAGTCTGAATTTTTCGAATTATATTTCAAACTTTCGATGGCAATTTATTAACTTCATGCTCAAAATGAATATGAATATGATAAACATTCATTTCTTTCGATAATAAATACAAGGCTTACTTTCGACGAGGAAAAACATTCATTTTATATGTGCTAAAATATTGCAGTAGACTTCAAACCGACGATCTCTAATGGACACATATTTTCTTGACAGAATAGTGTTAATAACCTTGTGATTTCAAACTCTGAAAATATCATTAGAATAAACATTTAGCTTAAATTTAATTAATATTACTTTTATCGTTGATGTTTTGTGTTGATAATTATTGATTTGTTTTAGAAATGTTCCACGTAATGCTGGTGAAATGTCTCATCATTTTACGACACCACTTCACGGCTCACAAACACCATCCTATGCTGCATTTGGTTCTCGTACTCCAATGATTGGTAATCAAACTCCAATGCACGATGGATCACGAACGCCTTATTATGGAAATATGGTTTGTAAAAGAAATAATAAAATACTGACCAATGTAAAATTCTCTTAATAGACACCTCGTCATGATGGCTCAATGACTCCACATGCTCATGGTGGAGCATCAGCTTGGGATCCAACTTATGCAACAACGCCTAGGTTTTTTTACTATATTTCTTTATTGTTTTTTTAAATCATCTTAAATTAAATTCAGAGTCGATTATGATGATGATGATGGTCCATCACCATTTTCTACATTAAATCCAACGACACCTTCATATAGTCATTTAGCAGATACATTGCCAAGTGGTCTTGGTAGTTCAAATACAACAGGTTCATCATCTCTTTCAAGTTCTTCATCAGCTGCACAATCAGCTTCTGCCTCATTACTTGGCTCAACTGGTGGACCTTCAAGTGTACTTTCTAATGCATCAGCCAGTGCTTATTCTCCATATTCAAATCATCCAACACCATCGCCAGCTATGCCAATGGATTATCAACGTAAACGCTTTTTTAAATATTATAATTTATTTTAAAATAATATTATTGTTTATATTTTTCATAGCATATAGTTCTCATATTCCAACACCAGGTGCAGCAGGCGGTAGTTTTTCTTCATCAAATAATAACATTTCAACGGATCAATCATCAGCTGGAAGTTATGTTTATTCTCCATCAATAAATATAACTCCTGTAACACCAAGTGCGCAATATGCACCAATGTCAACGGCATTGGGTATGTTTTTGTTTCGATTTGGTAATAATTCTAATACAAAGATAATAATTATGATAATAGATCTTGATTCAATATCAAATAATGATTGGCATGCAGAAGGATTACATGTTCGAATTAAAGTAGCTAATGAAGATGAATCGATACATGTAGGAATGATTGGCGTTATTCAAAGTATTTCGGTGAGTATATAGTGAATTTTATATTAAAAAAGAAACGAGATATTTTTTTAGAATGGCGTGTGCACGGTTCATTTAAGTCAACAAGATCGTCGTGCTGTTATTCCACTTGATCATATGGAACCTGTTACACCGAAAGTAAACGATAAAGTTAGTTGATTCGTTTTTTAACAAAAAGAAGAATTTTTTTCCGTATTAATTTCTTTTTATTTTAAAGATCTATGTTATCGGTGGAGATAGTAAAGGTGCATCGGGTGATTTACTAGCGGTTGATAATCCAGATGGTGTTGTTAAACTCGATGGAAATATTTCGGATGATGGCATATTATTGATTAATTTAAAATATTTATGCAAATGCAACTAATGACTCATTCTATTTCTGTGTTGTCGCCTATTCTTTGTTTTTTGCTTATATATACATATGTATGTTTGACAAGAGGAAAGAAACCCTAAAAAAAAAAAATTTTTGTTTTTCACTTAAGTTAATCGTTATTATAGATCAACCATATGAATTCGATTAATGCTATTTAAGAAAAACGTGTGCACTTTGTTTTTTTCTTCTTGAAGGCAAGTTAATTATCTACGAACTTTTATTCATCAGAAAATAAATTAGAATTCGATCTCAACATTTCTCAAAATTGCATTAACTGCTTATTTTCATTTCTTTTTCAATGTTCCCATATGACTTGTCTTTTAAATAAATATAGTCTTAAAATCAAGAAAATGTTTCGTAGATGTTCTTCATAAAAGAAGAAATTAAACAACTAATTATATTACTTTGCCATTCTAGATTCATGTCCTCTAATTTGTCAATAGTTACGCCGAATATTTTATCAGTATGTACGTTTAATATTCTTGCACCCTGTTATAAACGTTTATCATCAGAATATGATCGGGAAAGTTCTCATGAATCTCTTTGGCAATCGCGTCATTCATCAATAATCAAACTTCTTCAATCTCTTCAAATTCATTTAATTTGTTTACAAGAATTTTGGCTAAATGAGCCGTCATTTTTGCAATTATACCAATCTTATCTGTCACCAAAATATTCTTTTCATTATGTTCAAAGAACGCATGATCTTGATGATGGTTTAGCAATACTTGTTGATAAGAATTATTTCAAAGTCATTGATAAATATGATCTTCTTCTACATGATATTGGTAATCGTGTTGGTCTTTTACTTAATCTTGAATATGATGGAAAGTGTTTACTTTTAATAAATGTTCATTTAACATTTCCACATAATTCATTCGATCGTCAATTAAGATTAACTCAAATGAAAAAGTTTCTTGAATTGATTAATGAATATCAAACTAAACATAATCTTATAGATAAATGTTCAATTATAATTTGTGGTGATTTGAATTCATCGTTTGAGAATGATCCAGTTTATCAATTATTAGAAAAACAATTTCAATCATCTTATTTTGTCGTCCACGGAAAAGAAGTCAAAGTAACTCATTTAACACATCGTAATGAACAACTAGGCGTTGATTATATTTTTTATCGATCAAATATTCTTCAATCTATTTCAAGTGAATTAATACCTCGTGGTTGTAATGAACAATTATGGAATGATACTAGTGGATGGACATTAAGTGATCATCGTGCTGTTCTTTCGACATTTCAATATAAACGGAATATTGATACCAAAATGGATTTTTAGCTCTTCCCACGAAAAATAATTTCATTCAAAACCGCTTTAAAAACCGAATAAGCGGTTTGACTTTCGTAGTGTGCTGAAATCGTGAAGCTACTAAAATTGAATATTTTTTTAACTAAAAAAGCTCAAACTTCATATATCGATAACATCCGGAGGCGTACACAGGAAATTTTTTTATAACATGTCCTCCTTTCCTGCTAGCAAACCCTATCCTGTTTTTTCTTACTTGCGAATCCAGCCCTGGTTTCAGGACAGAACAGCAGGACCATCCTGTCCTGTGTACGTCTCCAGTGACATCTAACTTTGACTTTCACATTCGATGTCAAATTACTTGAAAATAGGAAATGAGTTACATCGATTTTGAAACGGTAGATTATAACAAAATTTAAAACATTAAAATGTAAATAGAAGAAAATTCAGTATCATCGTATTTTATTATGAGTATGACATAGAATTTGTTTTTCTAATGAGTTCATTTTCTTCTGTTTTTCAAGAGATCGAAGAATCATAGCGCAGAACTGCTTTACTAATCCATTTTTAAAGACTATAATAAAAGCTATTGATAAATAGATACTTATTCAATCATATTTACTTAACGATCAACATGTAAATCAAGAAAATGAAATCTTTTAAGATATGTTTATATCAATTTTATTAAATTTATTGATAAAAATCAATAATGAACTAATGGTATTGTTGGTATATCTGATTCACTATTTAATGGTACAGCTTTTTTATAAACTGACTCATTGTTAAGAGGTGGAAAACACAAAAGTTTTGCTGCTTTCATCATTAATTGTTGATGTTGCATTTGAATTCGCATTCGATTGTTCCAAATTTTTTCAAATAAAATTCGTTCGTTTTCATTTGGTTCGAATGAAGATGGACAAGAAATGTTCTCTTCTTTTTCTTCAATAGAATATTTTCCTTGAGAAATTTCATTCTTTGGAACGAGCACAGAACAATCATTTGGCTTATTTTCAATATATCTACTAGCATTAAGTTCATGTACCGAAACTAATGATAAACCATTGCCAATATCTTTGATTATTTGCTTATATTCATCATCTAAAAATTAAAAAACAAATAATTTACTTCCAAAATACAAAAGATAAAAATGCTAGAGATATACTCATTGAATAGACAAATATATTGTCTAACTGAATTGAATAAAACATGATTGGTAGAGAATTGAAATTGATATAAATCTGCGTTGGAATATCAGATTTGTAATGCTAAATAGAACGAAAACAAAACGATCTAATTGAGAAATAAATAAAATTATTTACAAATTTTCGAAAACTACTTCCAAATCGATAATAATTATTTTCTTGATGATATTGTCGTTTTCCTAATGTGAGTGAACATTTTGATGCTTGAATTTGATATCGGTATAACATCCGATTTGATAGTGATGGATATTGATCAGTACGTTGAAGATAATCTTTAAACCATCGACTTAATATTTTGGAAAAATCAATCTAAATTTTATTTTCTGAACTTTGTAAATTTTTTCTAGTAAGAAACAGACAAACAAACAAACAGACCAAGATATAAGCTGATTTTGTTTCATTGAATGATTGTTGTAATAGATCAAAAGCGGTCAGGATTTCATATCGAACACAAGAATGATTTATATTCAATGAAATTATCACATTTTCTTTAATAAAACGAAGTTAACTAAAAGAAAATAAATATTTATACAATAAATTACTTTCAATTGGTATTTCTTTTGTATAGAGTTTAGAATATTTAAGGTTACAAACAATAAGCCATTCTTTAGTATTAATTAATGAAGGTATGAGTGCTTGAAGTGCAGCACCAGATGTAACTAATAAATGTCTAAAATCATCAAAATAGGTATGATTTTTCAAATTGATTTCTTAATTTTTGGCTAACCTTGAAAAATGATTTCTTGATTTTTTGAATAGACCGATTTTTCGTCTATCTACATCATCAGCAAACACAACAATGTCCTTAGGTACAATTAATTCTTTTTGTTTGGCATATTCTCCATCGTCATGATTATCAGCACATATTGCCTTTTGTTTCAATAAAATAATACCTGTCTGTGTATGTTTGAATTTAACTGTGTCCGGCTCATAGTCCTCTTTTATTTTCGCATCAAATTCTGGCTGTTCAATTTTTGTTTGTTTAAATTCAAGCCTTTCCGAGAGTATTGACGGTGAACGAATAAAATCAGATAATTCGATAAGTTTCAACGGTACTTCTTCCTCCATTAGTAGATTTTCATTTCATATGAATGAACAAGTAAATGGATGAATAAGAGAGGCATACGAAGAAAATCGTTCGTGCATGAACATACGCACAAGGAGAATGAGAGAGAAAGTTATGATGCAACAAAACGGATGTATATCATGATCGATAAGCATCGAAATGTACCACAGTTTACCTTCAAAATATAACTGAAAGAATCACTAGAGATTCAAATAAACGACTACAATTCTTAAAATTAATATATTTTCGACTTAACAAATGAGAATAAATCTATAATATTCATTTTAGAAATATTTAAGCTACAAGAATAGTCGCGAGCATTTAAATCAATTCAATTATTATTTAAAACTAAAATTAAAAATCATGAAAGGTGTAAAAATTCCTAGAATTGGTCACTAGCATTATTTTTGAAACATCATTTATAAGTATATATATATATATATATATATATATACGTATAAACGATTCATTCTAATAAGAAAACAATGCGTTATATGACTCGTAATAAACGTCTACAGTTATCTATTACTAAATAACGAGTATTATTGTTAACTGGAAAAACAAATATATATAAACCAAAATAAGCCAGAAACGAAACTTTTATTTATGTGAAATTCAAAAAGAGAAGTAGACTTCTTATACAAATTTGAAATTTATACTGGGTCAATAGAGAATCTAGCATATAAAAATGATTGGCATCAAAATTGCTTCTTTTTGTGTACTCTGAAAGTGAGTACACTAAATTTAGTCAGTGTGTCCGTCCGTTAACACGATGACTCTTGAAAGGCTCATCCAATTGTCTTGAAATTTTGTACACAAAATGATCTCATCAATATCTCAGTTCTTTCAAAAAAAACTGTTTTCTCAGAATTATTCAAAACATATATAAATCAACTCAGTTTTTGCAGTACACATAACAATCGGATGCGAATCCGATGTTTTCTCACTTATTTTTTTACTTTATTTTCATAAATTCTATTTTATTTAAAAACTAATTTATTGATAGTAGAAATTCTAAAAGCTCACATTGAATATTTCTATGATAGAAAACAAGGTTCCAGCTATGTTTCGAGAGTATGAATGACTGAGGTTTCTTTGAGTTAATTATCGTGATAAATTTTAGTGATTAGAAGAAGAAACTGTGTGATTCTACGTTCATCGACAGACAATATCACACTACCTATACAAACTACTTATCCAGTCTATCAGAACGACGAAAACTCTGGAAAATAAGTCTTTAATAGTTTACTCCAAGCCTAAACACAATTTCTAATTTTGTCGGAAAGGATAGGCCTCATCTTCTATTCCCACTTTTGTGACGTGTACACATATTTCATTAGGAAAAATACTTGATCGAAAGCAATTCTTTTGTTCGGTATGCGTTTGTAATGTACAACTAGATAAGTTTGGTCGAATTCGTGTTAAAATTTTAGAATAAACTAATGTTGGCTGTCGAAAGTTCTTTCAATTAAAATTTTAAATGAATATTATTTTGTTTAGTATAATTGTGACGCAACTATAATGCTTTTAATATTTTTCTAGAGATTTGAAATTGTTTTATGAATAAATATAAGTCACACAACATAATAATCATATCTATATCTAACTAAAAGTATGCTACTCGATCAAGTTAGTTTTCAAATAGTATGATAGAGATTTTAAAGGATTTCGATCAAAGACTATACTGTTATTCACATGTTATTGCAAGCGTTTCTGACTAATATTTGCTAGGATTTTGAACGGCGACAATACGGTTTTGATACACATTACAATCATCGTATGAATTAATATTTTACATTGAATAGAGTGATGCTGATTTTAAATATTTGTCTCGGTCTCGTTTTATTGAAATATCCACCTCAATAACACTCAGGGTTAAGTACAACAAAACTAATGAGTCTAATTAAAGCACTGTTTTAATGGTTTATTTCAATATGATTTGTTATTCTCATGTAATTAAGCCACGATAGGATTCGTTCACCTTTGCTAAAATTTCTTTTCAATCTAATTCATTTTTGACTTTATCTACAGGGAGGAGTGAAGTGATGTTTTTCGGCGTCAAAAAGTCGACAAAGCAGTTTCAAAATTCTTATGACTCAATATTAAACAATGATTGAAAAGATGGTTGTAGCTTTTTTCTAAACTGAACTTTTTGTGGTCGAAATATGCGAAATATCATTTCAACGATACTCAAATCATGTTTGGAAAAATGTTTCCCTCGGATTTTTTCTCAACATTTCTGAGCGCTTAAAATCTTCTATAAAAATAAATAAAACTTAATACAGTCGGCAATCCTATTGATCGTCAGATAAACTTGATTATCATTATGGACCGATTAAAACGATCTTATTGACTATGTAAAACGTTCTAAGTACAGCCTAAACAAATTGGTAGTAAATTTGATTGCTCACATCTATTTTCAATACTCATTCTCATTCTCAAGCTATTATCTAATTCATCATATCTACTATATGTTATCTTTGAAAACTACTCAAATGAATCTGTTTTCTAGAATTAAATTCAGTTCGCAAGTCGATCGTTCTGGACTCTGTGAATAAGAAGATTTCACTTAAACTCACAGGAAAAATCATCGGGACATGATGGAAGTTTACATAAATTCTATGCTGACCGACAAATTCTCGACTTTTCCCGATGATCTACGGCTGTTTTTAGCAGAAAAAAGTGTGCTACTGACCAGAACACACTAGAAAAAATTTGAAACTTTTCTTTGTGGAACGTTGGTTTCATTGTCCGACGTTTTCCGCTACTTTTCTGTCGGAACCTGACCGTAGTTATTGACATGAATGCATTCTATCGGATAAAGAACCAGCCAAGACAATCATCGAGGAATTCGATGGTAATAATACCAAAATGAAACTACGAAAAATAATTACTTACTAGGTAAATATGCAAGTACTTTTTAAACTGTATCTGATCTTCCATCAGGTAAAACAAAAACGAGTTAGTTAGACAGAAATTGTTTTTATTATATTTTTATTTCATACAACAATGGTATCTAATGAATTTACAATGAATTCTTTTATTTTACCATTATCAAATATTGAAGCTTTAGAGAGTACTAATGCGTTTTGACTACCACCGACATTGACTACAGATCTAGATACTGAAGATTTTACATCGCCAACATCATCACACGATAGTAGTTATATTAATGGTAATTAGTCGCTTTCATTTTGAATTAATTTTTTGTTACTCATTTGGAGAGTATTGAAAGTGTAGTATTACAGTGTGTGCTATTATCATAGTTGTGCAAGTTTTTCATTATATAAATGTTTTTTCATGTTTTGTTAATATACTTGAAACAAATAATTTCATAAATAATGAATATAAAACATGTTTTTAGTATAGAGCTATCACGAAATATTGTGGAATGTGCATGACGGGACGACCAATACTGAGACACTCAAAACATTTTTCTATTAACTACTCAATATAAATCTATTTTTTATTTATTCAGAGCTATTTAATCTTATTTCTCTTGTCTCATTTGTTGTTTACTTTATAAAAAAAAATTATATTATACGAAAAACAATCCATAAACTTTAACTGTCACTCATCACCTATCAGACTTGTTTACAGCAGAAAAAGATTTATTTTATTGACTCAAATCAATTTTGTCAGACAGATAAAATCTCTGTTATGATAACATTATAACTTAAACCACATGGTGCAAATACGTTATTGACCCCCATAGTCTGTTCCCACTGTGAAGACAAAATAGAATAATGAAAAAAAAAGGAAAAGAAGATGAGAATGAAAATGAAAATGAAAATAATATAGAAATTCATGAATTTCTTGTAATTATAATGTTCGGAAAAAAGTTGCTTTTTCTTTGCAGAATATTTATGTGAAAAAAAAGTGATTGTGCAGTATCAACAGAAAATAAAGGAAAGGCCGTTGAGCTTGATTGATTTGAGTAAAATATATATTACTGTTGCCTGTTTTGATTCCAAGGAACTTGGCCTGGTGGTAGCTGTGGCACGTATGCAGGTGGACGCCAAACAGGTCCGGACGATTGATAATACTGTTGTCTCGTTGGTGTCTGTGGCGCATATATAGGTGGACGCAAAATAGGTCCTGCCGATTGATAATACTGTTGTGCTGCTGGTGGCGGTGGTAGTAACAGTGGTGGTGGCGGTGGTAGTAATAGTGGTGGTGGTGGTGGTGGATAATAGGTTTCTCTGGGTGATATATTAGAAACTTCTTGGAATGATTTATTATTGGATCGCTTTTGTGATTGTGAACTAGGCTGTACTTGTGCCTTCAATTGACTTTTGATTGAGTAATAAATAACTAAATAAATAACACAGATCAAAAAGCATAAAGCACCGATACCCAACTGCATCGATTGAAACAGAAACTTAGTTTGGGTTCCTGTATATGATTTAAACGTGCTTAAACTGGTAAATGCTGTGAAAAACGAGACTTGAAAGTTGTAATTGAATGTAGTATTCAAAGCAGCATTTGAACTACATGATGAAGTCAATAAACATGCGTCAGGTTTTGCAAGAAAATAAGCATCAAATCCAATTAAAGTCGTGCAAGCTACAAGAGCAATAATTGTAACAACGACTACTCGAAAAGCAGATGAGACTCCAGGACAACAGCAACCTACCGAAAAATGAATTATTAAAAGTTTATTTTATTCTCAATCGTTCACTCACCGGCACACATCAATAGAAGAACATGTATGAGCATAATCATACCACACCATCCTCCAGCGAACACATTTGTTAGCCAAAAGTTGGCTGCTACATTACCAAATTCTGTGCCAAGAAGAATGATCGTAGCTATTAATTCAACAACAGCCAGGAATCTTATAAAACATATTGGCCAGATTTCCAGAAAATTCTTTTCGCTTTCACGCGTCATATTTCACACTGAACTGTATAGAAAGAATTCTTCACAGTATGTTAAAATGTTAAAGACTACCGTTAATGTTTTCAAATGAAAACAAAATGCTGCTGTTTTATGCTTTCAGTAACAGTTATTTACTATCAAAATTTTTTTTTCTCGCTCTTTTTTTTTCTTTAATTCTTATTATTTGAATAGAAGGTTGGTGTACATACGTTAAAAGAAAAACAATCGTTATTTTTCATTTTACGATGAAAGAAACACTTGAAAGTTTCAGTAAAAACGCAAAATACCATTACCCCATGCGATCGTTTATTACTCAATGCTCAACTTAGAAGAAAATGAAAGTTACTCATATTAAAAGTTGTCGATGCCATTGATAAAATATTTTGCTCTAATATAATATTTTTTTGTGATATTTAAAACAGAAGATCAATCGATGCTACTATTATAAAAATATCTACTAGTGTCTCATTGATTTATAAAACTAGTGAGTTTGTTTAGAAAAAAAATTACTAATGTCAGACTATGAATAATAAAAATGGGATTAAACTTTGCTCGATGAATTGTGTTGATTTATTCCATTAACACATCGAATTTTAGGTGTTGTTCTTTCATAGAAATGTCTAACAGATATAGCGGTGTGTCTGATACAGAATCCAATTAGTACTAGAGATGATCAATGTAAAAGAAAGATAAGTGTAGTACAATGTAGTGTACAAAATATAAATAAGAAGCGTGCCATTCATCGATACATTTCGTAGAACTGACCTCTTGCTTTGAAGAAATAATCAGTGTAAGTTTTAAGGTGAGGTCTTTTGCGGTTCCCCACTCCTCATTACAGTCAACAGATATCAATAATTAAAATCAGCCTTTACCAATTATATATCATTATAATTAAGGTTCCACGTTCTATCTTTACCATTACAAACATAAGTAAATCGGTATAATGCTCTAATTAAAGATCTTAGAAATAAGATGAACTTTTTTCGAAATCTATTTTTCATTCGGCGTAGTGAGTCTAAAGTATGCATAGAAATTCCATATTTTAGTCCTAATGAAGTTCCACTGGTAAATTTTTTAAATGGAATAAATCATTTTAATTTTCTCTTGATTAAGAAGAAGCTGAATGAGATCATAACAAGGTCTTCATTTGTCATGCATTTGATTTTGAAATTTATTTGTAAAAATTATTGTACATCGAAATATAGTTAAGATAATGTCAACAATAAAAGAATCTCTATTATATATATATATGTGCTATTAACAATTTTTCAAAACTCATTTAAAATATTTTGACATTGATATCGAATTTTTTAAAATTTGACGATGGTTTGTGAGCATTTCATTATTTATGTTTCTAATTATTTTAATCAACGATTGCTATAAATTACATCTCATGGGATACAGTTATGTTTAACAGCTATCATTTCAGTTCAGACATTGTTTGACGATTTCAGTAACTCGTGAGTCATTTTCTACTCTTAATAAAACACTAAAAAATTCAGAAACTATCTATTTTTAATCGAATATTTCTTTTGTCAAAGAAACGTCAATTGATCTATTACATCTGTTGTAGAACTAGGATTTTGACATTCGTATGACGAGCTATATTGAATGTACAAATATAATAGTCTCGCTCCGCTGTTTACTCTATCAGAATATAACGGAGTGCTTTCATTACATAACTCTTTTTAATCGAATTATACTTAACTATTATTATGCATTTGAAATAATTTCATTTGGTTCTTTATGAAAAAACAAAAAAATGATATGTTTTTCATTATAAAATAAAGTTCATGACGTTAACAAGTCCTTTTTATCGCATTTTTTCAAATTGAAATATGTCACAATTTTCAAGAAGTAATGTTCTGAAAACAACCTTGCATAATAACTATGAATATTCCATCAAACATTTTTCTATCCTGAGGCACTCTAAATTTCTAGAGAAACTACCATGAGCATCGTCTGAAGATGGTAAATAAATAAATTATCTTTCTAACATTTTTTAAGAATAGTATCTTAGACTCATATACGTTTTTCTTTTATTTTGCTTAAATGATAACTTTGAAGTTTCAAAACAAACACAACATATGCTCTTACTGCTTGATTGATTAAGAAAAATGTACATAAGAATTTTAAAACGATTCATGTACTTTGATAATGTCTTGTTTTCTTTTCTTCTTCGCATACTTGTATGTAAAAAACATCCATTAGATGAAATCATGTTAGTTCAATTACAGAAAGAGTGCAAGTATTAAAAAAAAAACATGCAGAAAATATTTGCTTTTGTTAATCTGCCATTTTTGTCAAAGCCAACATTGAAAAACGTATATCTCCACCAGCATCTTCAACTAATTTCAATATAACATCTTTGGTACTCTAAAAACCAAATAAAATGAATCTATAGAAGAGTTTTTTGCAAGCATTTAAGAAAAGAAAAATCTTTATTCACAGGAAAACCTTTCAACAGTAACTGAAGACAAGCTGATTGATGTCTTCAAATAAATCTTAATTATCGAATAAGAAATTTCATTTATATTGAATAAAATTAATATTTCTTTTCTTTCATCAAAGCCTTTTCTTTCATCAAAGCATTTTCTTTCATCAAAGCCTTTTCTTTTTGTTATAGAAGTTATGTGATGCATACTTTTAATCCAATCTATTTTAAATTTGATTTGGAAAGTCTTGTCTAATTCTTAATAGTAGACACATTTGTTATTATTTTCTATATTATTGTTTCTTATAGAATATTGACGAAAACTATGAAAACAAGATTCTATTTAGTAGAACAAGTCGAAGTATAATCTATTTCGACAATATTATGATTTCATAAATGGGATTAATTCATTAAAACGATTAAGCGACGACAAGATTATTGTTTAGTTGATGGATTGAATTATTGGAATACATAGACTTTTTAAAATTATCTATTTTCTAAAGATGATACAAATATTCTACAGATGAAAAGATCAGAAATCAAAATGATTTTTTTCTCGAGATTCATGCAGATTGGTAAAGATAAATTTGAATAATATGTAACGGACATGGTTCAAAGCAAAAGTTCTTTCTCGTCTTACACAAAACGATCATCTATACGACAAATAAATTTGTAACGGCTATATTGTTCCATTTCACTCTTTTCTTTTTAAATTTAATCGACAAGATAAAGTCTAATATTATTTTTCACCAAGAATATTTTATTCGAATAAAAGATCGGATTATTCTAATTAATGAAACCTAAAGAAAATGATACAATTTGTTGATTTAATATAATATATGCTGTCGAGATAATTTATTTTCTGTTTATTGCGAATAGAATATTCTACACATTAAAAAAAATAAAGAGTAACTTACACGTAATAAATCAAGTGCATCTCCAGTTCGTATTTTAACTGGATGTTTGATTGGATGTGGATGTCGCCCATCTAGTTCATACAGTTCATTATTAACGTTAACAAAACATACGAAATGCAAATTAACATGTTCGTCTCGATCAATGACCTATTTTTAATATAAATACTAATCAATTATCGGATGACTAAAAATGTTTTCTCTTTGTCAATTCATCATCTTTCTTAAATAAAGAAGTGAAATCAAACGAAAAATAGTTTATAAATTATTATTCAATGAAAACTTGTTGTTTTAGTGAAATGTCTCTTGATATACATACACGTGATTCTCCTTCTTCTGCAATTGTATCATTAGCTGTTGCCATATCCAGTGCATGTTTTAAATGTTCAGCTCGTTGCTCAGGTGTCATTAATTTTGTCGTTTCCAAAAACTGAGCCAATGGTTTGTGTGCTAAGAAAAAAAAAGAATTCAGTTTAAACGAAAAAATCTTATGAATAAAAAACCATGAAGATGAAATTTTTCTAGATTGTTTGCAATTGAATGAATAACAGCAATTGATCCGCAAGCATTACCAATACTTTGTCTTAAAAAATAAATAGCTTGAGAATAATCAGGCGGTGTACTCGCAGCTTCGTCAAATTCTTTACGACGATTTTTTTCATGCTAAAAAAAAGTATAACTAAATTCAATCAATGAGCTTGCATTAGAAATCTACTTGTTCAGTTATTGGAAAAATTAAAAGTACAGCAGCGACAGGTTGTGGAACAAAAGCAAGTAGTTCTTCATCAAAGCCAATTATTTCAACAAATTCATAATTCTCATTTTTGACACCTAAATTTTGTAGATATTTGTTCAAGACCTATATAGAAGTTCGTCAGTACGTGTAACAAATATAGAGATAACTCACTTCAGGATTGCCTTCTAAAGGCATCCAACGAGGTTTGGGTTGATTTAATTCACCTGCATTTGCTGCTGCTACACTTATCTCAGGTTCTGCACTCATTTCAAATGATAAGAATTTCGAAATAACTATGATAAACAATAATCAAACTAAATACTTATGCCAAACAATGGGATGGGAGTAATTAGAGACGAAGAAAGATATCAACTAGTCCAAACATTCATTAGTTCAATGAATCCCTTGAAAATGAAACTTTATATTCATTTGTAAGAAGTTTTGTTTCAAAACTACATTTAAAACTCTTTAATTTTTTTTAATAAAGAAAATACTATTGTAGATATGTATATTTATCTATACAAAACTATCTAGTAGATGTCACTAGATGCAAACAACAATTTTGTAATAAGCATATATAAATATGTACTTTTTTAAATTCGTTATTTTCAACAAGTTTACATCTCATACGATGTATATTTTCACGGTCGGATAACATCCAAAGACTTTCGTTAGGAATTCTTTCATTTGGCCATGGACCGCATTCCTCGTAAATATATTTTTCGCGATTCTTACCAGAGACCGGAACGAATGGCAAAAGTGTCATACCCAGGTCGAGCATTACGACGGTTAGATACGGCCGTTTACGATGACGTATACGGCCGCATACGCGGAATTGACGACCATATACGGGCTGTATTTTAACGTTGTGGTATGCGTCATATTACGGCTGCTTATCGCCGTGTCGTGTACGGCAGAACGCAGCGCCTGTTTAGAAGCCGTATACGGCCGCATCATAAACAGGAAACGACCAAGGACTGTAATGTATACGATCGTAACCGACCGTTTACGGCCGTAATTCTGAATAAAAAGAAAAACACATTCATAGACCCCTCCGATCGAAAGTGAGCACACTACAGACATCAATTCTACTACACTTCCATAGAAATCACACTCAAAATGCAAGCAGCCAAAAAGCCTACTCCAAATCACATCGAAAATCACAAAAATCATACTTCCAACATATCTCTTCGAAGCACCGTTTATACCCTAAATCTACCGAGAGCACCCAAAACTAACTCCCTATGATTTCCCGTGTATCAAACAGCAAAAAACATGACAAATCTAAAAAAAATACAAAAGAGCACCGAACAAATCCTGCTAAAATCACCTTTCGAAGGAAGCATCTTAGAAAATCGTGGATAGCAGCATTGGATCGAGAACATCAAGAGATCCGCATTTGGTGATTTGTGCACCAGGGATCATGAGAAATCTGAAAAATACGAAAAGCATCAAAGAAATCGTGTTAAAATCAATGTTTTCCGTATATAATTCATCGAAAAGCGGTAGCAATGATACTTGGCATCAACAAGAATAAGTGCTTATGGTGTTATTTACGATTAATCATATAGTATCGAGAATAATAAATCTTTAAATGATGAGTATTTATGCAAGAGATACAGAAAAATTCGTTAAGTGGAATTCGTCAAAAATCATTGCTTTTGACTTTCAGTGAAGATCATGATAAAAAATACAAAAAAATTTATATAGCGTAATATAAGTAATGCCACCCATGGAAATCGGTGAAAAAAATTAGAAGAATCATTAAAATCTCCTCAATGTTTGTTACGGAAATTGCATCTTTTCGATCGTAGAAATACCTTTAAAGATTGTTTTTTCCTTAATTGAGCGGATTTATTCAGCACCCTAGTCGAACATCTTGTATGCAAGATCTGGGAATCTTGGGATCGGTAAGTAAGATCTTATTAAGATCTTCAAAAGATAATTTGTATGTACATATCTTGGTTGTATCAGATAAATCTGTACTTAAGATCTTGGCAAGATCATGGAAAAAATATCGTGTACTATAATCTTCTGATAAGACCTTGAGCGAAACAGAAAGCCACATCATCACAACTGTATAGAAACAGCATGATTGAACATACGAAAAACAAATTTTCAAAATTTGTTTTTTCTCAACTATTTCTCGATTATTCGAGAGAATGCTGATCGCGATCGATGATCGAAAGAGGACTTTCCTAATTGGTCCGACGGATATAGGACCAATTTATAGCCAGTCAGATCCCAACATCTGACTTGCTGGAATTCGGGAGAGGAATAATTAAAATGAAAAAATATTGAAAAAATATTAAAGAATGCAGCAGGTTTTATTTTAGTGTGCATCCAATATTTAATGGATTCTTATGTACGATCTGTAATTAGATCTTGGGTGCAAGATAATACAGTTGTCTCGTACCTGAATTTCCAAGATCTGTTAACATATCTGTACCTTGTATCTTGACCAAGATCTTGCTTACAAGATGTTTATCTAGGGCAGCGTTCAACAGGAATTCGATATAGGAATATGTTCAGTATGGATCTGCTTCAAAGTTTAACTCGATTGTAAGGGAAAACGATGTTTTTGTTCGATTTCTTGCGAAAGGTCAAGTGGGATCTCCGCATCTTTGTGACACAAGGTTTCTAGAGATCATACGGAACCTATGTATTCTGCTGTTTTGAGTGAATATCTATAGGATTTCTTGAATGTTGCACATTCAGGCAACTCTAGTTCCTGATTTGAAACAAAAATCGTAAAAAATGTTTTTTTTCTCGAATTCTGATTTTTGATAAAAATCGGCTTTGACGAGCTTTAGATCTGGAGTGGCACTGTAATAGAGCAGAAATAATTTGGTATAGGTGAATGTGAAAAGCTGGCGAGGTTGATAAATGATCTCGTGGACTTAGAGTAAAATTTAATGAAAAGTTGGGGTACGGCATGTCGTCTGTTCTTACCAATAACGTTTAAGATGCAGAAATCTTGCTTTTGGATTTTTTCAGTGAAAGTGAGCCGTAAATGATAGGGTTTGCCGCAGATGCTGTGTTAAGGATGAAAACAGATGCTTTATGATACTTCTTTTTGATAAATGATGAAAGACTTAAAAATCCTGGAGATATGTGACAGAAATCATAGAAATAATGAAAGAGCTGACAGATTATTTTGGAGTGTAGGGTTTTGGTTTCTGAATAAATTTAAGTAAACTATAATCTAAAAACTGCTACTATACTTTAAGCGAACAGATAATCATCGTAGACGCCCGTGTACGAAAATATACGATAGAAAAACGGCAAACGTTTCCTGAATCATTTACGGTCATCGGTTCCGGCCGTTTACTGTGATATCCGACAGTCGTTTACAGCTATCGGTTAGTTACGAAGGTCGTTTACGGAGATTTTTCACGATCCTCATTTACGACTACTGTATTTCATCGTAACACTTCGTTTATGATAACAGTAAACGACTACAAAATACGGTCGCCGTTTTTCACCGTGAATGATAGGCATATGGCCGTTTACGATTCAGGATGATCGACCTGGGTTTGAATGTTGTCGATAATGATAGTTCAATTAACATCAATATTTTATTTTGAATAAACAATGATTCTTATTCGATGTCAACTATACTTAGTTTCAAAATAAAATAAATATAAATATATATTACTCATTTTGAGTATTGGTGATGACCCTAATCCATTCTTCCCCGACGACTCCCCGGGGAGTCCCCGCAAAATAACAAAATCCCTGGGGACTCGTCAGGGAACTCCCTGGGGATTCTTCTAGGGTGAGTTGACTAAGGTACTTTCTTTTCGTTCGATAAGGTTGGGGAAGAGAAAAATGAAATAATTCTTGCTATTAATGAGCTTGATTTGCCAGACTTCATTTATAGATTTACACAAAATACGAATATTGAATAGTAACATAAAATATTAATTTAATGCTTTTGATAACTGCTTGTTTAATGACTTTAAAAAGTATTTTCTTTCTGTTTCTCCAAGAATATTTCTATTACTGTTTGGTCTAAAATGGCCCATGGACCCAGGAGAATCGCGGTCCGTCGGATCTTGTCGGGACGTTTCCACCAGAATCCGATCATATTCGTCATTTTTCTTTCATATTCGGTTACCGGATTCCATCCATTCCGACCGGACTCATGTAGCCAGAATCTATCGGATCCGATGTCCGGATCTCGCCAGATCTGACGTGATTCGGGATTATCTGGTACCAAGAATCGAGCGGAATTAATCATTCGAGATGATCCCAAAATCCAATTAACATTAGTACGTCGGATCCGATCGGAAACAAATAACATAAATCGAACTTGTGTTAAAATCCTTGTGACAGAATTCCGACTGCCGGATCCGATAGAGTTCCCAGGATTTTTATCGGATCTTGATAAGATTTGTTGATCAAACGAAATTCGATCGATATAGAATCAAAATCCGGTGTAAGGATTTTTTCTTTTGGAATCTCATAACAAACTTCCTCGAATGCTGGTGTCAGAATGTGGTGGATTATATAAGTATCAAGAAGGTTCATTCACGCATTTTATCACGCTTCATATTACAGATCCAATGAGAGTCACTATTACGTGGTTATCGGAAACACTCAAAAACTTTTGTTAACAACTGCGCTAAGTAGCTGGCATTTGGTGAGAGCAATAATAACGAATAACTCGATTCTGAAATCGTCGCTCAGCAAATTTTAGTAAGGAAAATAAATTGAACGAATAATTTGCGAACATCTAAATGAAAGGTGATATTGTTTGTTGAATGTAAGTAGTCAAAATATATTAAAAAAATATCAAGATAGTAATAGCATTCATCTGAAATGCTTTGGATTGGACAAGAGAGAAATTTTCAAAATCAATTAAAAACTTATGCAATGGCACTCAATTTTACATTAACAGATCGAAAAAAAACTCAATTTTACTTTTATTTTTTATCAACTCTAATTTGTTCTAATCAAGTGTTGGCGTTTAATCAATCGTGAGTGATTATGAAAGCTCAATTTTGTTCACATTAATCTGGCCAATTTATTTAAATAGATTTTAAACGATTTATATCCAAGCAAATACCTGTTTCACACTGAGAAATCAGTTGTTCAGATTGAACTGACGCCTTCTTGGCATCATGATAATTGATTTTTAATGAAATAGCTGATTTTGATCAGAGTTTTTCGTAGATTTTTTTTTCATCCACATACTAACAATATCCATCGATCTTTCGAAAAAGCCCGATCAATAGTTTGTAGACTGTTTTCTATTGAAAACTTCAATTGTTCTAAGTAGTATAAACGCTAAATGAGGAAATCTAAAATATTATTGCTTTGCTTATGCTCAATAAATTGAAGTGAATCCTTATTTTTTATTTTCGTGCAGGCGATGGAAAAGAGATGATGACGAGAGAGCAGTACTTAATTTGAAGAGTCCTTATTCAGATTATGATTGCTTCTACTAGGGACATCGGAAACACCAACATCTTTTCCACACGGTCAATAATATAAACTGCTGCTCCACGTAATCTTTTCGAGAAAAATTCGAAGTAATAGATTGGATTTCCTAAGAATCTTTTACTGATCTTTGATAATCCTTATCAATCCTTTGTAATTCGTAGTGATTCTTAGTAATCCATAATAATCTTTAGTAATCCTTGGTAATCGTCCACTTGGATTACTGTCAGATGTCACTCACCGTTTTGTTTTGAGCAACTTCACTATATATAGCCGACTGTTTGTAGGCCCCTTTCACGTACATTTTGAGATTAAAACTTGGATGACCAAGATGTATTTTCATCCGACTCTTGGTAATCCAAGTTAATCCTTAGTAGTTCATAATAATCGTTAGTAATCTATAATAATCTTTAGTAATCCTTGGTAATCGTCGATTTGGATTACTGCCAGATGCCACTCAGTGTTTTGTGTTGAGAAAAATTATATAAAGATATTTACATGCATAAAGAGTTAGTTATTTTATTGTATAGTGATACGTTGAATGTTTGGCTTAGCTTTTTTGTTACTTTGGAGGATGGACCCTAAACGATTCACATTACAGTGGTAGGAGTGGTCCGAGATAATCTATATTATTGATTAGAAAGGATGATAGCTGATCCCTGGCGACGACCTATGAATGATTCTAAGTGATCGGTGCGAGTTGCCTAGGAATGATTCGAGCTGGATTGATGTGTTGTACCTAGGAATGATCCTAGATGGTTGGTGTGTTGTACCTAGGAATGATCCTAGTTGATTGGTGTGTGGTATCTAGGAAAGATCCTAGTGGATTGGTGTGTGGTATCTAGGAAAGATCCTAGACGATTTGTGTGTTGTACCTAGAAATGATCCTCTGTGTTTGAATTGAGGTTCCTAAGGAGGATATCAGCTGATCGAAGTCAGTATCTAGGAATGTTCCTAGATGATTGGCGTGTTGTACCTAATCGTGATGTGGATTATTTTTCAATCGAGATAATCCTTATGTGGCTTATTTTTCAATCGAGATAATCTTGATGTGGATGATTCTGTAATCCTCAAAATCATAATATGGATTTTTGTTTAATCCACATAATCTTAATGAGAATGACTTTGTAATCGGGAAAACCCGATAGTGGATGTTTTTATAATCCGGGAAAATCTGTTGTGAATGCATTGGTAATCAAAGGGATGTTTGGGAGAAGTAAATCTCTATATAATCCAGATGAATCTTGTTTGAGCTGCATAGGAATCCGACGGAATCCAGTGGAATGTCGCAGGAAGTCTTTCTGTTCCGGCGTTTGTCTATGATCGGATCCGATCATTTCCTGAAAGTTCCGATGATCGATTTCGACAGGAACCGATCAGATCCTTTTCCGGCGTAATCCGGGCCGGAATCCGTTAGTTAGGAATCCGGAGTAATACGGACCGGTTCCGGCCGGTTTTACTGTGGAACTCGTCGGATTCCGGTGTGATCCGATACCGGATCCGGTCGTTTCTTGGAAGATACGTAGGTCGGAATGAATCTCCTGGACGACTTTTAACAATAGAAAATGCAAAAGGAGATTTTCTAAGTTATGTAAATTTACTTTGAGTTCAAAATTTTTTCATTTTAACAAAAATTGAGAATGGCACCACTGATCCCCCCCCCCAGCTCAACTCTAGTAAACACATTGGAAAAAGATTTTTCCGAGAAAATTTCTTGTATGATTTAAATGTTAGTTTTATCAAATGATTGAAAAGAATCGTAAAAAGTAAGTATCTAAAATAGTGACATCTATTTGTTGCATCAAAACTAAACAAATATTGAAATGTAAAGAGAAGTCTTCAATCTCTTCCTCAATGGATTTTCATTCTAGCAAATGGAATAATTTTCGTTGAAAATATAATTAATAGTGTCAATTTCTAATAGTTTCAATTTCACATAACATTGATTTATCTTATTATTCATCGAGAATCGTTAGTTCTATTTGTTTTTGTTTTTTTTTGAGTCAAATGAGTACTAATTAACTCATCAAAAAATTCTTATTTTATTTCTCTTCAAGATTGTGTAGAATCATCACAAAAAAGTAACATGAACGACGATCATTTTATATCAAGTGGTTTTAACGATCGCATTGATATAGTTCGCGTTCGATATCCTCACTGTATTGTTTGGACACCGATTCCACTTCTTACATGGCTTTTCCCATTTATTGGTCACATAGGTATTGCACGTACTGATGGAGTTATTCGAGATTTTGCAGGACCATATTATGTATCAGTAAGTTTAATAGAAAATGAATATCTTAGGAAATACTAAAAAATATAATTCAATATAGGAAGATGATATGGCCTTTGGTCGACCAACAAGATATTTACAACTTGACCTTAATCGTATTTCAACAACAACAGCAATGGGCTCAATCAATGTACAAAGCGTTTGGGACAAAGCTGTTGAGCAAGCATCAGATGAATATGAAAAACGAATGGTTAATCGAATCAGAATTGCTTCATTTTTATTAATTTTGTTTTTATTTTTCTTAGCATAATTTATGTTGTGATAATTGCCATTCACATGTAGCTATGGCGTTGAATACAATGAATTATAATCGAAAGCATTCATATAATATGATTACACTTTGTTTTTGGATGTTTTTTCGTGGAAAATTTGTCAGGTAGTTGAACAGATAAATATTCAATCTTAGTTTTATCCGTATAATTTTATTTTATTTAGTTTTCTCGGATTTCTTCGTACGTGGTTGCCATTTCTCATTTTTATGACAATTATTCTTGGTCTTACTGTCATGTTCAAATCTCCGAAATAATATCATTAAAAATTATCATACATATATATTTATTTATTTATTCACTTGTTCTTTTGTCATTAACATTCATCTTCGTTGCTGATTTGAATCTTTTTAATAAATCAATAAAAATCTATATGTTTTAAATACTTTTGTAGAACCTGATCATGTTAAATAAAATATCTATAACTGAATTCAATATATTTCAATTTCAATAAATTTTCTATGTTTACATTTGATCTATCGTTGATATAGCATAGATAAAATGTATTCTTCATTGATTTTTTCGTAAGATTCTTCTAATTGATCTTGATTTTAATTTCACAAGTAGTAATATCATTTGGTATTATTTTAAAAAACAAAAACTAGAATAATCAATAAAATGATAGGACCAAGTATACGATTGATCTAAATTGTAGATCGACATTTACTATAGAAATTAGCTATAATCATTACAAGAAGAATAGTCGTGTAAATTTCCTGAAAATATGGTAATAATAGAAAATCTTTCTAACCATTGAACACTTCGACACAATTGTTCTTAAATTTAAAATCAGAGACAAAAAAATATTACTCAAGATAAAAGTTTAAATAGATAAATTCATGTATATAAACAAGTTTTTAGATCTATCCTATTGATGCGAATAAAAAGATTAGAAAATTCTTTTTAAACGATATTTCTTAATTGATATTCTATTGTTTAGTTAGAAAAGTCTATCAAAATTAAATCTTATTATTGTGTTCGAATCGCCAATTAGTGATTTAATAATCGTTATGAATTCTATTATTATTTATTGGCAAAAAATTAGTACAATTTCCATGATTCATAATTGAGAGTCACTTGAGCGTGCCTATGAAAAATAAAGAATAAAAACGATGCAATGATAATTATCTGTTTTTTTTAATATCATTTATTATGATTAATATTATTGAAAAGATAGAACATCTTTCTATCGCTACAAATATTTTATAAAACTTCAAATTAACAATTTAAAAAGTTCGAATTGTTGTTACAAGTATGAGAAATCTAGACATAAGAAAATCCCTATTTTATTAACGATTATGCAACCTTTAGTTGGTGAAATCTAATTATAAAATAACCCTGATAGACAACATTGGTTAACAATCTGTGCAAATATCATCTTTTCTTTATTGAAGGCAAAAAGTGATTCTATGTAAAAATACGGACAAAAAGCTTTTCGTGTGATTCAAATTTTATCTTCTATGCAAATAAAACAAAAATATCCAATTCGTCTTATTTTCCTTTTCTTTTTGCTAAGTCAGTGAAAACTCTCAACCAAATAGATATGAAAAAGATATTTGAATTAGTGTTACTTTATTGATTCTACGAATATCGATTTAAGTGTAATGAATGTTTTCTTTTTTATTTGTTCTAATATAGAATAAGATGTACTGAGTGAGAAGTAGTCATGAATTCATTTGATTCTCAAATAAACAGCAAAGAAAAGGAAAAATGACAATTCTTGGTAAATATAACTATCGTTATTCGTGTTCATTTCTATCGACAACGTGTCACTATTCATCGATCGAACACTAGTAAGTGTGAATACAAACAAATCAAATTTTATATACTAATCCTGCTTACAAGGTCAGAGGAAATAAAAAAAATTGTTGTTTTAACATACATAGAGAGAGTACACAACACAGAAACGAACATTTACTAGAACTAGAATGAAAAGACAAAGAAAATAAAAGATTGAGTGATTATTAAAAGACAAAAGGAACATTATAATAATTTGATTTGTTCAATCGATATTTAATGAGAGTTGTACCAAGAGAAAAAGCCACACCCCAAAATTAATTTATTGCAAATTATAAGTGAATAAAAGAATAATTTCCTGTGACTTGTGTCCTTTGATTTCCTGTCTTCTCATTAGACGTTTAACCCATTTCTTTTTCTTTTTCTTTTTTTTTGTTTTGTTTATCTTATTTATTCCACGGACACATATGTGGAAACATACAACAATCGATAGCAATCAAAAGTTTTCTTGCATTCTTTTTTTTATTTTTAATTAAATTGAACTTGAAAGTCTAAAATATGTAATTGCTTCAATTTGTTTTTATTGAAATGTAAATAATAAAATGAATTGAATTTTGAAAAGAATGTTTAAATTTATAAATATATATATATATACTAAATGAGAATGTCAATATAGAAAATGACTTGTTATGTTGACTTGGTATTCTATATAAGAGAGATAGTCACTAGTTGTGAAATAAGAGATCAACTACACGTGCTTGGGAGAAAGAGAAAGATAAAAGCTCTCTCTAATTTGTGCACACACAGACATACAGACACACACATTCATCGTCGATAGAAGAGATTAGACCAACACCACATACCGACCGTTAAACGACGGCGGATGTGAGATGAAGATTGCTTCTTAATTTATTATTATTATTATTATTATTGTAATTCAAAATTCGACTTTCAAAATTAAACTTTTCATTTGATTTAATCGTTTTTTTCGAGTAAGTTTTTTGTTTTGTTTTTGTTTAATTATTATTTTTTTTCTCTTAATGAAATCAATAAATGATATCGGGATAAATATTGATAAATGATATGAGAGAGAAACAGGTGTTTATGGCATCGAACACACTTTCTCATTTTCTTTTCTCTCCTTTTTTTCAATCGATTAATCTATTGAAATATGATTTTTCATTTCACCCCGTCGATTTGTCTTTCTTTTTGAAATTTTTTCCTCTTATGTCTTATCATCGAAATTGAAGATCGTTCGAAAAGAAAAGAGAATTGCTTTCGGAATAGTCGTCATTGTTTTGTTTGCTCTATGTCATCATGTGTATATTTATATGTTTGAAGTTAGTTTTATCGTTATTGAATAGAAGAAGAAAGTGGTGCCTTATCTATATCTGTCGATGTCGACATACGAAAAAGAAAATATATAAAAGAGAGAAAGACGATGAGAGCACCTTTTCTTTTATTTTACTGCCTTTTCTCTTTGATTTATAATCCTTCTCTGATTTTTTTTCTAATGAGAAAGAATTGAAAAAGAGAAAAAAGGCAAAGAAACGAACAGATGGTTTCTATGATTTTTAAATTTCTAATATGATATACACTTCTAGTTTATTGTCATTGTAATCCATGGATATTGAATCAAATAAAGTTTCATCATCATGTGTTGATCAAGAGTTATCTAAAGAAGATTCAATTATTGATTCAAACGATAAAAACAATTCAAATGAAGAATCATTCACCTCGTTTCCTCATCTTTCACCATCAAATATAATTGGAACTCATCCAAATGAAATTATAACAAGTGTTAATCCTGATAATGGTTACCCTGTTAGGCAAGAAAATGGACAACGAAAAACTGGGCCACCACCAGGTATAATTCATTTGTTCATTATTTATTCGTCAATTAAAATATCAATTTTCTTCTCCAATAGTTTCACTCTAAGATAAATAATTGTTAGAACGACATGAGGATTAATATTTGCTTTCGTGTGATTAATTATTTTTTCATACCTTATTGATGAAAAACTTAAATAGTCTATCGATTGAATCGAATCTAATAGAACTCTGTTGGTTTTTATCAACTTCTTAAAATATTTTAGCAAAATTTCTCGCAAAAGATAATTGTTGAAAAGTATAAATCGCGAGATATTGTTGTTGTCGAATTATTGAACTTGCACACAAAGCTGAATTTAATAGATGTCGTATAGATCAGATAATCATTTTTCGATAGTTTTTATTTGCATACCATTTGTTTTCCTATCTTCGTATCTTTAGAAAAGCTTTATTTTATCAGAAGTGTTTAACTTTGAGACAATCAAAATTTGTATTGAACATATAATAAGTTGTATAGAATAAATAATGAATTGATAAAAACAATTACAATAATAAATAAGTTTTAATAGATATTATTTAGTTCTTGTTGTGAGATAGATATTTTTATCAATATACTATTTGTTTTTATCAACTGATATTTCTATGATTCAAAACTGGAAAAAATATCATTATACTGATAGTTGTTTTCGCATTGAAAATCTCTAACCGATCATGTAAATTAACATGCAAACAATATAGTATTTTAGTAGAAGAAAGAACTTGGATTTTTACACATATTTTTGGTGAATCAATATTGTTGTTTTTTTCTACAAAGTTCATTAAGAATGAAATAATTGAATACAATTCTTTTAAAACCATTTAGATTGGCCAACAACATGTCATCCGCCTGGTCGTGGTTGTGAAGTATTTGTTGGCAAATTACCTCGTGATTGTTTTGAATCCGAACTATTTCCATTATTTGAACGTTGTGGACAAATCTATGAAATGCGTCTAATGATGGATTTTTCTGGTTTCAACCGTGGCTATGCATTTATAACATATACATGTCGCGATGATGCAAAACGTTCTGTTAAAGAATTAAATAATTATGAAATTCGTCCTAGTCGTTTAATTGGTGTTTGTCAATCTGTTGATAATTGTCGTTTATTCGTTGGTGGAATACCAAAAACTAAAAAACGGGAAGAAATTCTTGATGAAATGTGTAAAGTAACTGAAGGTGTTGTTGATGTTATTGTTTATCCAAGTGCACACGATAAAACAAAAAATCGAGGCTTTGCTTTTGTTGAATATGAAAGTCACCGATCAGCAGCTATGGCTAGAAGAAAACTATTACCAGGAAAAATTCAATTATGGGGACATCAAATTGCTGTCGATTGGGCTGAACCTGAAACTGAAGTTGATGAAGATGTTATGGCAAATGTAAAAAAAGAAAATATTATTGAAAGAAAATTGTTTTAAAATATTTCATTTTTAATTCAGGTTCGAGTACTCTATGTCAGAAATTTAATGATGAATACAACAGAAGAACAAATTAAAGAAATTTTTCAACGCTTTAAATCTAATTCAGTTGAACGTGTTAAAAAATTAAAAGATTATGCATTTGTTCATTTTAAAGAACGTGATGATGCTTTACATGCGATGAATCTGATGAATGGTATTTATTTTTGGCTTTTCTTTTACTTTTTTTGATTTTTGATTTTAATTAGGTCGAGAAATCGATGGTTCGATTGTTGAAGTTACATTAGCTAAACCTGTTGATAAAAATCAATATTTTCGATTTACGCGTGGTGTTAGTCCATCGACCATTGCTGCAAATATGCCAGTAAACTTTTTCTCTATTATGTTCATGACAAGCTATACATAAGTATGTATCTATGCATTATTTTAGTTTGGTTTACCAGCTGGTAGTGTTGCTCCAACAACAGCAACGTTCGATTTAACATCTCATTTAACAGCTATTCCTTATATAACATTTCCAAGTACACAATTACATACAAATGCAACATCGATACCAACAATAACTACACCAATAAATAATGGAGCTACGATTCTATCTACTGGTGCCAATGCTCTTCAACAAAAGTAAGAATTGTATTATTCATTACACGAATTTCATCTTTCATAGTTATATATATATATATATATATATATACATGTCGTAGGCCAATCTCAAATTCAGGCCAATCCTAAATTGGCCTAGGTCTAACTAAAATTTGAGTTTCGACTAGTTCAATCTAGAATTGACGTTTGGCCTAGCTTTTTTCTAGGCCAATCTCAGATTTTAGAATGGACTAGTCCAAAATTGATTTCACCTTAAAATCGTCAGTTCAATCCTAAAGTGGCCTGTTTTTTCAGGCCAAACTAAGATTCGCCTAGTCCATACTAAAAGGTTTTTCTGTTCAGGCCAATCTAGTATTGGCCTAGGCCAACTTAGAATAAACTGGTTAATGAGATAAACTATACTTCATCTAAATTCAATTCAAGATCTACAAGAAAACTATTATGATTAGTAAAGTAGTAAAGTAGTAAACAATTTTTAAAATTTTTCCATGTTTTTACAACAACTGGTATTTTTATGACACTTCCCAGGTCAACTGATCCGATATCGGATTCGATAGGAACCTGGAAATATCCTACAATCCGATACAATTCTATTGGATTCCGGGTCGAGAAATCGATGTCGGATCCTCAGTGTTGGAATCCTATGAACTTCCGATGACATACAACGATTTTTCGTTGGAATTCATAGGAATCCAACGCTGAGGATCCGACATCGATTCCTCGACCCGGAGTCCAACGATAATTCTGTAAGATCTGACAGGATCCGATAAAATCCTATTGGATTCCAGTCGGATCGGATGTGTTCCGATAGGTGCCTACTGTCGGATTGCTCGACCTGGGTTTGTTGAACAAAAAAACTTGATTTCTTTTACAAGCACATTGCTTTGTCTTGCATCCGCCTTTGCACGAACAACATATACCATTGACAGCTCCTCTGACATATAATTTCGATGCAGTTATCATTGGTATCTCTTGTAAATCCTCCAGTTTTAAATGAGTAAGTTCATGAGGTACAGTAAATAAACCAACCAAAGAAGTAAATGTCCACCATTGATTAATGACTCTATGAACACATGCAAGTTTCTCCTTTTCTTCTTCTTTTGCAATTATAACGCATGGTAATAGTTTTGGATTAGTATTAGTTCGATCAACTTTATCTATTCGTAATCCCACAAAATCACCAATGTTACATTTGTCATTTAATGACGGTCCATAATAATGGATGTCAATTGTTTCTCCTATGATTCTTTTTTTATTTTTCATGAATTTCTCTGTCGTTTTAATTTGAACGACAGCCTATATTTTACTCATAATTCATTACTCGTCTGTATGCTCCAAGTTTCGTAAAAATATTACAAAATTATATTAACAATGGAGGCTAAAAGTTTCATTGGATAACTTTATTTTACATTGACCTGAACAGAAAAATATTTTAGTATGGACTAGGCGAATCTTAGTTTGGCCTGAAAAAACAGGCCAATTTAGGATTGGACTGAATTTGAGATTGGCCTACGACATATCTATAAGAAGAAGAAAAAACGAATCGAGATCGCTGAGAAATGTATAATAAAATAATTTACAATTTCACCGACTTGGTGTATTCAGTGCACGTCGACTAGACGGATACATTGTAAAACTAGAACATATCACTCAAAAAAGATTATATTTTCATAGATTTATTCTGTCTATTCAGCATTTCAATATTTCGAAGAATACAAAAAAATCTAGCGTTTTGTAAAGCTATATGAACGAACAAAAAGTGATACCAATGATTGTTTTCGTAAATTGAAAATAAATTTTGTAATGTAACAAAAAAAAGACTCGAAGAACGTCATTAATCCGATATAGCTTCTCAAAGATAAATTCTGTACATACTTCTTCGAGAAGTTTATTTTTGTTAAAACACTATCTAAAAAGAAGTAGTTTTGATCACCGAAATGTTTTCAACTTATGATTTTTTCCAGTTTGTCTTATCGAATGTTTATATAAGAGAAAATAGAACACACTTCATCTACATTCAGTATTATGTCTAAAGTTAAACGAAATTAATGTACGATTCAAAACTTTCGTCTTTGAACAAGCTAACTAATTCATGATTAAAAGAATCAATGATAAGCATGAGCGTTCTTTAGAAAACATAAAAGATTTTTACACTTAAAAATATGTTAAGATCAAAATCCAATTGAATTTAGTCGTGTACTCAATTTGTTTAATCCTGTAACAGTCATAGGGTGAATGAAAAAAATATCTCACATAGACACTCATTGTGGTGAAAGAAAATAGAAAAAGAATGCTGGAAAAAAATCGATCATTTAATCTATCTTGTTTTTTATTGATCAAAAATATTTGTCAGCCAAAGAATATTCGAAAACAATTTTTATCTTTATATAATCCCTAAGGAACGATGAATAATATCATTTATTTGATATAAAAATATTTTCGATATAATTTTGTTGAAAGAAAAGATAAATCAATATGATAGTTTCTATTTCAATTGATAACTGAATATTCATTCGTTAGTGTATACAAAGATAAAATATCATACTTTTAGCTACATTTCTATAAAACCTTAATAAAATTATTTAATCCAAAAAAATAATATTTCAATAAATTAATTTTAAGAGAAGATTTTTCATATCGATAAAGAATTCATCGGTTTAATTGAACTCTGATATATTTTAGTTGTAGTAAAATATTAGAAAGAAAGCTTAATTTTCATATTGTGAAATATATATGTATAAGCATTTTCATAAAAGACTTTTCTAATAGAAATATTCGTCGATGTGTAAATTCTACCGGTCGTTTATCAGCAAATGGCAGTGCAAGTCCTCCAACAATAAACCGAAGTGTTCCTTCAACGCCAACAGGAATTTTGACAACATCATCTCGTCCAAGTCAACCACCTCCAACTGTCGTTCATCATCGTGGTGCTTATTATACTATTCTTCGACCAACGTCACGTCTAACAGACGTATGTTATCTTTTTATTTCTACTTAAAAAAAAGAAGGAAATTGATAAATTTTGCATGTGTTTTATATTACTGTGATTTAATGCTACGCATGGCTAAGTTGATATTTGTTTTTTTTTGTTGTAATTTTCATCATAGGAGAAATGTCTCGAAGATCTCTACAAAGAGACTTACGATGCGCTGTACGGCTCTGCTGCTAGTACTACCACCGCTCCATCGATAATGATGATCGATTCCAATCATCCTCAGTTTATTTTACCAGAACAACAAACTTCGCAGCAGCAGCCGAATCAGCCTGAAGAGGTAATTTTCTCCAGGGGCTTTTTGTTGTTTATATCGAACAAACAAATGGAAATACTACATAAGCTTATTTTCAGTGTCCTACACCTACATGAGGAGTAAGAAAATCAAAAGAAAACGAAAAAAGAAAAATTAATTTGAATGATTTAATTGTATTTTCTCTAATCTGATTTTTATGAGTTTTATTTCTCTTAAAGCTTCTTCTGTAATAATGCCAGATAATTGGGTATTGATCATATACAAAGAAAACTAAATCTCTCGTCGCTTCAATTTTTTTAGACAATGATTAACATCTATTTAGATAGAAATTCGACATAACAAAACAAAAATGATGCATGTTGATTGAAATTTATTATATTTTTGCTCAAATAAAAACTAGGATAAAAAGAAGTTAGATTAAGCTGCACGTATTATACTATTCTGCGAAAAATTATTTATCTTTTATTGCATATGGAGTTTTGAATGAAAAGATTTTGAACAATTGAATAACTATTTTAAATAAAAACTTGTTTTCAATAGATTCCATTCGGTCCAACAACATTTGGTTTTCATCCTGGTGGTCCATTATTTCAATCAGCAACACTTTTACCACATCCATTACTTGCTGCACATCCTAATGGAAATCCATCATTTGCTCAACAGCCATTCATTTTTACAACAGCAAATAATCCTGGCCAAGCTCAACCATATTTTCATGGTCATCCGCAAACAAATTATCCATTTCCAGTGTTTTTTAGTCCGCCATTATCAACCATTCCAACGTTAACATCAACGCCGACTAGTCCTGACTCGCCACTATTCGCTTATGGAACACCAACATCGACGACTACAACGGTTACAACTGCGGGTGGTACTACTTATTCAGCTTGATAAACATAATCGCATATTTACATTGCATTAATCTTCGTTTTTTTCGACGGGACTGAGAGTGACAGAGAGAGAAAGATATTGAGAGAAAAAATAAGATAATATTAATATGTGTGTATTTCAGCTATTATTTATACTTGTTGTTTTCTTTTTTTTCTTGACTTATTTGTGTTTTTTTTCTTCTCTTGTTCTTCTCCTCTTTCCTACTCTTTCTACGTTATGCTTTCTCTTGAAACGTTGTTTTCTTTTTTTTTTCTTTGTTTTGGTTTTTCTCTGGATCCGGCTAAATCTAGACCGTGGTTATTGTGTGAGCAGTTTTCTTTTCTTTTTCTTTTTCTGCATATATGTGCAAAATGAAAACAGGGAAATATGTATGTTTAGCATTCAATAATAACTTTCTTTTATTTATATATAAAAATAAAAATAAATGAAAAATTGAAAACAAAATAGATACTAGAATCTTTTTGATTGATCAATAATGATTTATATCAGATGTAAAAGCAGAGTAAATTATAAAAACACGTGAAATTACTCTCATGAGGCAAATTTGTACTCTTGGGGCGTTTTATAGCAGATTGATAACATTTGACAGATACGAATGACATAAACAACTGTTGATTGCTTCTATAAAGTTCATATTGCTTAACAAATTTATTGATGTTATTAAAGAATTTGCTTATATTAGTTTATTTAAATAATTGATTGCTCTTTTTTATTTTTATTCGAAAACATTTAGATAATTTTATTTGTTTAATTATTTAAATTTAAATATAAACATTATTTTATTTCAATTATTTTTCTGTATAAAAAAAAAATGTTACTATTAGAAAACTTTATCAATCAGTCAATTGTCCATAGAAGAATTTATTATTGAATAGACATAGACATAGACAACATATGTTTATAAGTATATGTTTAGATTAATTGATATTCTTCTTTATATTATGACTTATATTTAATCAAACAAATGTATTATATTAGAGATTTTCTTTTATCTACAAGTGTATACACTATGTACTTATGAAACAATAGAATGAATATTAATGAAAGAATTCATTAATTCTTTTCGATAGAACAATCAAAAATAATAAATATGAATCACAGAAATATTTCGAGTTTATCGAATTTCCGTAATAGAAAAGATTTGTTCATTAGATGTACTCGATAGAACAATCAATGAATATCGAGCCATAGCTAAAAATTGTTTGGCTATTTTTGAAAGACGACAAAGAAAATCGACATATTGTTTACTAGATAAAGGATCTACATGACAAATAGCATCTGGCAATGAAATAGACAATATTTTAAGTTACTTTTGATTATTGTGATATGGTATGAAATTATTTTGTTAATTCTAAAAATCTTTACATAGTTCATGATCAAATAAAATGAAAAGTCAATAATTATCTGCAAATAAGATTTTTCTTTATAGAACCTATATACATATATGTATATGTCTAATGATGAGGACGTGCTGGCAGGACCACCATCATTGATGTCGCATAATCACAATCATAGTAATAGCATCCATCGTCATTCTGCACTAGCGCCAAGGCCTCTTCTTTTTCTTTTCTTGTTTTTCTGTTTTGTACGTAGTTCCATATCACGCTAGTGTTATCCATACTTATCGGAGAGAAGGAAAAAATATAATAAAAAGAAAAGAACAAGATATTTCTTCGTCTACTCCTACAGTCAATAAGAAAAGAATTGCTTTCTTTTTTTTTATAAAGATGCTTGTTTTTGGTTCTATTCTTAGGAATAAGAACAGGAGAGATAGAATATTCCAAGCAAAGATACGTACAAAAGACACCAATAACAGCAGATGAAATCGTCGTTGGTAGTTTGAGAAAGAAAAGGGAGATCTCTTCCAGTGTAAACAAATGAGTGTTACACCGGGTCTTGGTGCTTTTAATAAAGATAAGGTAGCCAATAAATTTGGCATTCAATTAAAAAATAAAGATTCAAATAAACAATCTCAACAACTATTAACTTCATCAAGTGAGAAAAAAACGGTTAACACAGAAACATCTACTATAACAGAAAGCAAAACAGTCAGTGATTTTCGTACAAAAAATGAATCAAATGGATTAAAGACAAAGAAAAATATTCGTCGGCAATGTCCTTCATCGAAAACACCAGAACCAGTAAGAAAATCTCTTGAAAATTCAATAAAAAGTAAGTCCAGTCTTGAACTTGTGTCTACGTCAACGAATCATGAACGACGTAATTCGTTGAATACAAACGTCAACCATTCCAAATCTTCAATTCTTGTGGAATCAAATGAATCAATTAATTGTATTTCTCCATGTTTATCGTCATCATCATCGAATATTTTATTATCACCAAAACCATCTACTACAATGAAACGGTCTAGTTTAACATTAATTGATCGAGATATACTATTAGAACCATCTTTAACTGAACGAATTAGTACAACAACAACAACAAAAAAACGAATTGTTTCACCAGAAGCTTCTGCTAACCAATTGAATATTTCAAAAAGTATGACTAAAACTGAAGCAGAAATTGAACATCAAAAAGATCAACCATTATATAAAAGACAATTATCAAAAACATTAGATAGTCCTACATCAATGGCAAATAAAAATAAACATCAAAATGAACATACTACAATATCATCAAATACAATGTTAAAACGGTAAGATAAAATTCTTTTTCCTAATATTTTCATAGAAGATTACCTTGTTAATTCTAATTCTCAGCAAGATAATACTTGGAGACGAAAACAAAATTTATCGAAATAGATATCTATAATTGTTCGATTATTTGATTTCTTTATGCGCATTATCTGTATGGATATGCCTGTTTGTCGCTGTCGCCCAAATACAGATAAAAATACATTTTTTTCCTAATATTTTCTTTCTCAATGTGTAATATGACACTTTCTAATATACTGTTTTCTTTCTTCTCTTGTGAAAAAAGAAACAAAGATAAATATAAAATATAATTTCGATATCGAAAAGAAAAGAATTTGTTGAATTCGCCGTCATCACTTCAAAGACAAGCCTTGACCTTGGCTTGTGAATTATGCATAATAATACGACCTTTATTCGCGGACAATCGAGCACATACACTTGTATCTAATGACTCACATGGGAGAAAATCAATGTTAACAAACCAAATAGAAGAGTATTGAAGGACACAACTAGACATGAAAGAAGGCAATAGACGGCTTTATTTCAAGTCAGTTATTTAGTAAAAAAATTCTTGTTTCTTTCTTTCATCCTATTATTTATTTATTTTAATATAATCAAATATTTGAATAAAGTCGAGTCGAAATAGATAATCTTTTATTATAGTATTAAAAATACATGAATACTATGCAAAACATTGTGTGATAATAGTGTCTCTTTGAATCATACATTTTTCATTATTATATTTTCTTTTCGTTCTGTTTTTGTACAGAATCATTATCATTATTTTATTATATGTTCAATTCGGGTTTTTTTATCCGTTCTTTCTTTTTCCTTTTTTTCTGAAATACCTACACACATACGGTTGATTTCTCCTTCGAGTAACCGACGAATATTTTTATACAATTTGTGCATGAGGTTGAAGTTGACGCACACAAATGCACGTGCGTACTATGTTACGTAGTTCTTCTTCTTCTTCTCCTTTATTATTATTGTCGTCGTAGTCGATGATACCGATCAACATGGTGATATGCTCGTTGCTGTAATAAGTTTTTGCTGTTCTATATTGAACATAGAAAGAAAAAAAAGCGAGAGAGAGTGAGAGAGAGAAAAATGTCATCATCAACGTTCATCCAACGTTGGACATCCGTGAACGATTTGACGACGGCGACGACGACGAATAGTCACAATAAAAAGCTGTCAACCCCTTTTTTTCTGCGATCCACACCTGCACCATTATCTCCACCATTATTATCAAATTTAAAGCTTTCACAATCATCGATCTCACTAGTCGAATCAACACCCGCTCATTTAAAAATTCGATGTCAACTCTTTGAGAACCGTGTATTTTCGTCTCGAGTTGCTAATATAATTCGTCAATTTGAATCTCAAGCGGCTGCATCAATGAATAATCATTCCAAGGTATCTTCTCCTATTCGTAGCATTTTTATTAAACAATGGGAAGGTTCAAAAACAAATGAAAATTCTTCACGAACTCCGCCTATTGTGGTCGTTGAAACTGCCTCTCCCAAAACGTTTAGGCCAAAAAAGAATAACAATACTAATAAACCGCAACCAATTATTATTTGTGAAAAAATAACTAATCATAATCGACCTACTCCACCTCCTGCTAGTCCAAAAAATACTTTTACAAAAACAGGGTCTCAGCTTAAACAAGTGTCTCAACATCAACATCAACAACAAAAGACAGAACATATTGAAAGTAATACTGATTGTGCCATGCATAGAATAGTTTCAGTAATTAATAATGGTAATAATGAGTCTGTAACATTGTCACGTTCAAGTACAAGTGCAACAACAGATTCAACTTGTTCATCGTCATGTTCATCATCATCGAATACTCCGTCACCTCCTGGTTTTGCTCGTCCAACTATAGCTTCAACTCAAAAACAACGTCAGTTTATTTCTAATGTAACATCGTTTAAACGAGCCAATTCACCTTTCCCACCGATTACTACATTCACGCGTACAATTCCTTCAGTACCATTGACTATTCTACCGTTATGTCCAATCAATGAAGATCTTGAACAGCAACAACCACAAGCATCTATATTAAAAAATCGTTTTTGCTCAGCCGATGTTATTTTAGTTGATCAATATTGTCAATTATCGAATACTGATATAATTCTATCAGAGACAAGTGTGTCACAAAGTTCAATAACAGAAATTATAGCTATAAATACAAATTTACCATTAAAATACAAAAGAGATTCACTCATTCGACTTTACGGGTAACAAAATACAGATACATTTACTGACTAATGATACACACGACTAATCATACATATATACTACCAAGGGGGAAAAGGCGGATTTTTGGGATTTTGAAAATCCCAAAATCCCATAAATTGAAAAGCATTTTTCTCTCTGTGAATGACGTAGTTTCGACCTGAAATTCATCCCATATAGGTTTCATCGTCCATAAAAGATCCTAAAAGTTTCAACTCGAACAAATGTTTCCTTCTTAAAATATTGAATTTTCAAAAAAACTGGATTTTCTGACCGCGCCGTGAAATGAGTATTTCTTGCGCATTCGTTATCTTGAGAAGGAAACATCTGTTTGCGCTGAAAATTTTAGAATATTCTAAGGATCATGAGACCTACATATGGGAAAAAATTCAGATGGAAATTCCATCATTCACATTTTGGATTTTTGGATTTTGAAAATCCCAAAAATTCCAAAAAAATCCCAAAATCCCAAATTCGCCCTGTTCCCTTATATACTACAGTAAGTTAATCAATAAGGAAAATGCTATCAATGCCTTTTAATAATAATAATTATAATATACAAAGAAAGAAAAACTATTTATGGCTTGTTCGATTATTTTATTATTTGTATCAAATAAAAACAAAACAGATATAAATATTTTCATAAGTATGCGTCAATAGTTCTATTAGAATTACTAACATGTTCTTTGATTTCTTACAAAATAGTTTCGTACATATTTTGACTCATAAACGTCAACTTGTTATTCAGTAATCTCATCTACATGTCAGACATTGCATTACTCTCTCGCTTATGTGATATGATGTTATCTATTACAGCTTGTACAAAGATATTTCTATATATATATACACCATAATCTTTGATGTCTATTATTTCTTTTTAATTCTCTTTTCTGTATTCGTTCTATTCTTCTCGTTTGTGTGATAATGAACGTTTTTGATACTAGATTTATACTGTAATAAAACACTAAAACAAAAGGCTTTTCCCTCTTTTCCTTTTATCAGAGAATCAGTTTCTATGTAAGTTCACAAGAGATAGATATTGTGAAATAAATACAGTTTGTACGTTCTTTTAGGCCTGACGTAATTCAACAGCATGGTCATCATCCATATCATGACGTCGTATTAGAAGATGGTAATAATAAGAACAAAAATAGTCTTACAAACGAGATCAATCATTCATACATATATTTATATATATATATATATTTGTGTTTACATGTTCTAGATGTTGATCCACCATTTTCACCACGTATTGTAGCAGTAAAGAAAAATAAATTAGTTACCGATGAATATGAACTTATGGAAATTCTTGGAAGGTAAAATAAAGGAACCACAACAAAAATAAGAAGTTTCAATTTAAAAAAAATTATTTTTAAATTTAGAGGAAAATTTGGTGAAGTTAAAAAATGTCGTGAAAAATCAACGCAGCATTATCTAGCAGCTAAATTTATTCAAATAAACAAAGAACAAGATCGTATTGAAGCATTAAATGAAATTGAAATAATGAAAGCCCTACAACATCCACGTCTTCTTCAACTTTATGATGCTTTTGAAACAAAAGGAACTTTTTGTCTTGTAATGGAATTGTAAAGAGAACATAGATTTTTCATCGAAAATGAAAAAAAACAACATCCGTTTTTATTTAGAATTAGTGGTGGAGAATTATTTGAACGTGTTATTGATGATGATTTTATATTAACAGAACGTCTTTGTGAATTATATATGATGCAAATATGTGAAGGCGTCTGTTTTATGCATTCATCAAATATAATTCATCTTGATATGAAGGTATATGGTGTTAATTTCAAAGGTTTATAAAAGAATTCTGCCATTTTTCTTTTGAAGCCAGAAAATATTTTATGTGTTAATCGAAATGGTCATCGAATTAAGATTATTGATTTTGGTCTTGCTAGAAAATTTGATCCCAGTAAACAGTTAAAAGTTTTATTTGGTACACCTGAATTTGTAGCACCCGAAGTTATTAATTTCGATAGAGTTGGATTTGGCACCGATATGTGGTAGGATTATTAAATAACAATTTATTTTAATTTATTCATTTTCTCTTTTAATTTTTGTTTTAGGTCGGTTGGAGTTATTTGTTATGTTTTGTAAGTTAGTTGATAAAATTAAAACAGAAGATTTATGTAGAATATTTTGGTTTCTTTTATTAGATTATCTGGTTTAAGTCCATTTATGGGTGAAAATGATAATGATACATATGCTAACATCAATCGAGCTAATTATGATTTTGAAGATGAATCATTTACGGACATATCTAAAGAAGCGAAAGATTTTATTTCAAAATTACTTGTCAAAGATAAAGAGTATGAATTTTATATCAAAAATAAATTTGTAAAAAAGTATTTATTTTAATTAATTTTTCTTTTCTGTCTAGTAAGCGTCTTTCAGCAAGACAATGTCTTGTTCATCCATGGTTAACACGTCGACCTAAATTAGTATCTATTCCAAGCGATGAAGAAACAGCCGAAAAGAAACTATCAACTAAAAAATTGCGAAGATTTGTTATCAGACGACGTTGGCAGGTTAAAAAAGATTATTTCTGTTTTAATTTGTTTTCCAAAAATCGATTTTATTTTTTAGAAAGCGGTTAATGCATTGCTAGCATTGCAACGAATGGGAATGACGTTGTGAATATGTACGACACCGCTATATTCATTGTTTGAAAGTATCAATTATTCGCACATAGATCCTCTTCTGCTTTTCTTTTTTCAGTCGCGCGTCTTTCACAAATTGCTTATTGTATTACACTTGAACATCCTCAACATCAGTATATGATAACGGCTGTATTCTTATTGTTTGTTCATTTTTATTTTTTTATTTTCTCGCTGTTGTTACCTGTGGATCAATTCAATTTGTTCGCCCAGAGAATAGAGCGTATGGATGTAATACTTGTCTTCTTCTGTGTACATTATTCTTTTTTCTTTGTTCGGATTCTTTTTTTTTATCTTTTCATTATTATTATTATTATTATTATTATTATTATTATTATTTCTGCTATAAGACGGGAGAGCGATCAAAGATAATTGACAATATTCATTCAGATTTTATTTTACAAATATAATCAATGAACGTCAAGTCAGATGGTTCATGATTCAGTTTATTATAAGTTGAGTAAGAATAATTAATTTTTAATGATACTGTAATTAACTGATGTAAAGCAGATCCAAGTCTATTTATTTTGAAGTTATCAATCATAGTCAAGAATGGTGTGGAAATATGACTGATATGTTGTATACATTTTAGCATGACACCTAACTGATAATTGTATTCTGTTTATCATCAATATTCAAAATATTCCATATAACTCTAATGGAATGTTCGACAAAAATTTCTTTTATACATTGAACTAGAAATAATATTTACATTCAATATTTCTTTAAATAACTTTACTTAAAATCTCTCAAAGTAATGAAAAAAGAAATTTTTATATCAATGATAATAATCCAAAAATAAAGATATTACATCTGTTATTGATTTACTAATAAAATTATCTAGTAATTGATCATTCTTGAACAATATTTTCTTGATATTATTATGTTGAAGATGCCATTTCAACAAAGATTATTTCCTATGGAACTTTGGACTCCGAATAATAGAAAATTGTTAATTACAAAGTAGCGGATATCCGAAAATAAATGAATCTCTCAATTGTCGCCACACAGGTTTTATTTTTTTTACCACAATATTCTTCATTCAATTCTCAATAAAACTATGGAAAACGATTGAATATAAAAAGGAGTCGTGAAAAATTCTACGTTAGAGACTATAAGACACCAAAATGATAGTTTTTGTAACAGAATTTTTTTCTAAAAATGAATCATATCTTGCCTCTAATTAGACAGGCACCGAGTTATGTTCATTTTATACTTTTTCAATATTCTCAAATGTCTTCTTGTGACCTTTGGTGAAGGTCGTTTAAAAAGGATAGTAATGTACAAATGACGATATTTCTTACGAAACGATGTGGAATCATCGAAATTCGTGTTCTCGCCCCATATGTTTTCTACAAAACATACAATAAACACCAGACCGTTGCGTAGGCCTGGTAAGCTAATCATTTACTTTCAAAGCAGCAACAGCATTTTATCATAATAAGTTAGTTTAGGACATAGGTGCAGGCGTTTTCCCAGCTAACGCCGAATTCGAGCGAAAAAATTCGAAATATATGGAAAAGAAAAAGGTTGGCTACACGAGAGTTAAAGCTTCGAAAGGAATTTTTAATTCCCATCGAGAAAGAACTTTTCGAGAGCTATACAATGACTCATTTGGTTTGTTTGTATCTTACACATCTCACACTGGCAGCGAGGATACTGCAAACTGACAAAACAGATTTACGGAATCGGTCATTTTGATGTCTTATAATTTGTAGCGTAGAATTTTCACGATTCATTTTTACGTTAAAACGTTTTATACAGTTTTGTCGAGAATTGAATGAGAAGTATTTTACTAAAAAGAAACTAAGTCTGAATGATGAAAATTGACAAAGATATTGGTTCAGTACTGCGAGGTTCAATTATTCTCTGGGACACATGTTATTTGGCAGTGCTCTACTGTTCAGTTCCCTGTTATTTTTAATGTAATAAACATGAAAATTTCAAGTTAATGCGACCTTAAGCTTTCTAGGTATCACGATACTAGTCTAAAAATTGCAGACATTTTCCGTCATGAAAATTGAATCTGGTTAAAAATTGATTTCTGGGCGTGATAATTCAAATCGCTTGATATGTTTAGATTGTTGTAAACAGACTATAGTGAAACTTTTTGCTTTATATCATAATTTTTTCATCAGATATTTATCAAACCATTGTTTAATATGGCTTATTGAGTAGTCCAAAATTCTTGGTAAGTCTTCATTCTATAGATTATATTTTCAAATAGAATGTCGGATGGAAGGATTTGACAGCACTTCTTTTCTTATAAATTCTTACTTTTTGATTGAAAGAAAAAGATGATAAGTCCAGTATTGAAAAACAACAACTCAACAATTTGCCACCTTTTTCATTCAATCAAACCTTCCAAATCTAAAAAAAGAACTTTATTGAATTCATCTACCTAATATTGTCTTTTAAAAGAAATATGAAGGTTTGCAGTGCATTCTGGTTGTCCAATAGGTTATAGATGAATCTCGTTTGATGTATGTCTCAACAAAACGGCCTGGTATTAACATAGAAAAAGGCCACCGTGATCTCGTTCGAAAGCTGCTTAACATGAGAAAAAACAGATTGATTTTTTGAAAAAGCTGGACCCAATCATTTTGAGTTTCATCGAGTTCAAAAAATCGACGATAGAATGTATAGTCAACTCGATAGCTCATCAGACTCTCCAGTCATAGACTATGAAGAAAATGGTTGATTAAACCGATGAATATGTACAGTACTAATAGAAGCCAATATCATTCTAGAACACAGCTGTGTGTCACATTTCTTTTATTTATCGGCCATAGTCTACATATGTAGCTACTAATGTTTCGTTGATTTTTGTAGATTTCTATACGAACTTGATTTTTGTGTTTCATAAACAACAACCAGTACAGCTAAAAGTATAAAAGCTCACAATTGAGTGATATGTGATTTCATATTAATAAATATAAAGTCTTTTTTCTCAGAACAATATGTGAACAAAGATACACAGGTCGAGCATTACGGCGACCAGAACTGATCGTACATCGTCATAATAAACTTTTAGTTCATACAAGACATTTCATAGCAAAGAATTATTGCAATACTTCCATTATTTTTTTAACATTTTCATCTCATGAATTTACGTATTCTAAAAAAAATGAAATAATTAAACGTTAGTGATTTTCCAATATTTATCAATTTAAAAGTTTAAATATTTGAGTCGACTCTACTCTAAGAGAAACTCACTGGTTTACTAGTGAAATTTTTTATTTTATCAGAATATCTTCAATGACATAAACTTTTAATGTAAAATGTATTTTTGAAGTCGTGTTTAATGTATCTGCTGACTTCGATATTTTCGGAATAAAAATGCTCTTTAATTTCTATTGCATGAAATACCTTTAATTTAATATTTTATTTAAGATAAATACTTTCATATACACTAATCGTCATAAAAAAAAACTACTTAAAAATTCTAAGAATATTTAGAAAACAAAAGAATCAAATTATACGCGATTTACAGCATCTTTGGTATTATTGTTGGTTGCATTTTGTTTTTCATCTAGAGGTACTACATCATTATTTACTATGACTAAATTATTTTTAAAAGGTGAACGACAACAGTTTGCACATGGGTCACCTCCACCAATTAATAGATGAGGTAAACCAACTTTAACAGGTTTTCCAATTTGAATTCTTCCTGCTGCAAGTCCATACTGTCCACCAACAGGTAACCACCATAGCCAACCATCGTCACGCAAATTTGCCCATAGATAAAAAAAAGCGCCAACAGAATAAATAATGTCACCATTAGTATAAATGCCGTTCAACTCATACAATTCTGGATTTTGTAATATTTGAATGTTGTAGGTTATGTAAATAAATGAACTTAATGTTGTCAATGTATATGCAACTGTATCAGGATCATCAAATGTAAAACCACGGCAAATGGCACGTGTATATGTTCGATACCAAGACATGATCCTAAGTTCAAAAAAAAAATTAAAAAAAAACATTGTCTTATCCCTTGTTCAAACTCAACTCACCATCCAAATGATGCAAATAATTCAACAAATGCTGCTACAGTTTCAATTATATGAATTCTTGTAGTATAGTAACCATAACCATACAAACCGCATGTTTCTTCTCTTACATACCATATAGCACTCCATAAATATAAAGCTGCTTCAATATGATTTAAATATTCCGGTATCATAATAACATCATTCCAGCGATGATCTATTTTACGAAGACATCAAAGCAATGAACAAGAAAGCATCATCTGATTACCTCTCCATGCCCACCAATACAATGTAGCAGAAACCAGATGTATTACTCCTAAGCCTTGAACATAGATTAAATTTTGAATGATGAATATTGTTTTCATATTTTCATTATTATTACTCACCAATATACAGTCTATTTTCCAAACTAAATTCGCGTTCCGGCTCAGTACAATTTTCATCATAAGTGTATTCACTAGAATAATTAGTGCAGGTTTCGTTCTCTGATCCTTCGTCAGGATAGGATCTTGGATAAAAATCGATTAAGAGAATACCAATTGCATAGATCTGAATAGGAGTTTTTAAGAATAAAGGTAAAATTTACTTGAACTATTTACTTACAAGATAAACAAGATTAGCTAAAAAGTATCGATTGTAAAGTGTTTTTTGAGCACATATAGGAACACGTTTTTTAATTTGTTTCCATGTTAAAGCTTCCCAAAGAGAATCAAATGCTTCTAATTCATTAAATGGTGCTGTTGGATCATTTTCTTCGTCATCGGCCATTGATAAGATTATTATTTAGAAGAAGATAAATATTAACTTCTAGATAGTGATTAAATATACTAGTAAATGTCAAAATACGATAGATATTGAATCAAACAAATTACCTGATTCAAAAGTTTGTGGTCAACTAAGTAGCTAAAATAATATTCTGACTTTGACATACTGAATTTCTACTATTTAAATGAAGTACGAAATTTTATCATTTATTGCATTGATTTGTATCATAAAAAAAAGAAATGTAGTATTCGTATAATGTTAAGTATTTGTTATCTCTTATTTTTGTTTCTTTTGTTTTATGGAGTTGTTCGAGAGAACATCGATGATTATCAGGTTTATAAAATTGGTATTGCTTTATGGCGATCTTTTCAGTCTTATCGATGTACGTTTTTTTCAATAGCTGTTGTCTTGGATAATGTATATACATTTGAAATTAGCATTGTCGTTTTGCTGAAAAATAAAATCTGTCTTGTCAATCTTTGTGATTTTCTCCATAGATTATTTTAAATGTCGTTTTTAATTTACATAATATTGTTTTCGTAGCTAGATTTCATAGCAATTAAACTTTGAAAGGTAGAAGATAATATATATATATAATATAATCATCAGTTCGTGTGAACGATAATAGTCGTCGCTTCAACTCTTAATTATTCCACATACCTTTCATTACTTTTTATGAAAAACGATCTAGAAGTGGTGTTGAATCAAAAGGTACACATATGAATCTCCTGTCGTTGATAGATGATGATAGACGTTTATATTCGTGTCACAGACTGCTGTATATGTTATTGATATATGAACTAGAATCAGTGTTTCATTGAATTTCTAGACAATTAAGCAAGAGAATGCCAATGGAAAGTGTCCTTAAATCGATCGAATAAAATAATTTGCATCTGATTAATAACAATTAACCGTTTGCGTTTCATGTTTTAGCTTTGAAAAGGTGGCACGATAACAATTTTATCAATAGGTTTGATTTCCGAGTTGATACTTTATCCTGATGGTCATAGGTATCTTCAACAATCAGACGCATCAATCACAACGAAATAGCTTATTTTCCTAACTCTAAAACATACACTATGAAAGCGAAGATACAACATCTTTCTACTGTTTGAGAAAAGCTGTGCATAATATGTCTGCTGGTTTTAAAGCCTGATTTCAATACTATTGTAATTATATGAATACTATGCCGGTAAGCAAAGTCGTTGAGTTATTTCTATAGAATAATTTTAGTAAATATATTTTCTCTCATTGAATGTATCTGTCACAGATGTAATTATTCAGTATTATTCGTCAGTCATATCTTTATTTCAAAGGCTTATTAGCAATCAATTTTCAAATTAAATATAAAAGTTTGGTGTCTAAAATATTTTTTCTCCTACCTGTAGGTTTTTTCCTGTCCGTTTGGATGAAATTATCGGAGATGCATATCACTAACAAAGATGGGACTTCTAGGCCTACTCAAGTGCGAAAAAAACTTTTGTACCATAAATAAAGTACGCCAAAATGTACTTGATGTTTTTTCTGAATGTGTAAATATAATAAACTTTTGTCTCTTAAGCTGAATAGCTCTCGTGAGCTTCGAAAAGTACCTATATATCATTTGTTTTCATTATTACAGCTTCTTGACAATTATGATCAATATCTACAGGTGATGATTTTCATTCGGTTTTCTACAATGAATTAATAGAATCTTCGTCAATTGAGATCCATGTTCTGCAAATCACTCCAGATTGTTACTTTATTGCAATTGGTTATCATCAATAGAATTTATTTAGTTATATAGACAATGTTACTCAATGATTTCTCTCGTATATATCTGAGACCACCTCGAATGTTTACCTTGATGCTATTACATTGAGGATGAAAATATGTGTTCTAATAGTAATTTCGAGAGTCTTCATATGTATTTAAACATAAAATATTTCTAAATATAACATCTCTTATTTTTCATGACCTTAGTTGAAAATATAAAAAAATCTTGTTGAATCTTGAAGTATTTGAATAAATTTTAATACTTAACATGCCTTTTGTTCACAAGAATACTGGATTATTATTCTAAAAGACATTGAAAATATTTAAAAAGATATTGTTTCTTATTGCAAGCAAATATAAGCGCTACAGACACTTTTGAATTTCAGTTTAAATACTGATGTGTTGTTCTCAAGTTCAAGTAAAAACAGTCAATATATCAAAAGAATGTTATTTTTACTTGACAACTCCGAAAAACAATTGTTTAGATAATTGTAGAATCAGACAGAATATCGTGCTATGCTGACTGAGTCGAAAAATACTTTAATAGTTTCCAGCACGTATTACTTCACGATACAGTTAATTTATGTTTCTTTGACCGTATGACTATAATTTGAGGGGAAAAAATGCATAATACATCTAAAACAGATGCTACTTTGATAATAGATACTGAAATACGAACATGGAAAGTTTGTTACAAAAATTTATTGGTGAACTATCGAGAAAAAATGCAATTCACGTTTCGAAAAGAATTTTTGAAATGATTCAAATTTTGTCGATTTTTTATCACATAATTTATATAGTTAACCTATACGATTGCTCTAATTTTTAATGAATATGAACTTTCCTAAAGTGCGGATTTTTTTTGTAACTATTTGGATGAGATAGAAGACATCAGTAAAACGCATATTTTATAAAAATGATGACAATAATAATACCATCAGTTTAATGTGACATAAGAAAAAGCATATTAGTTATTGTTGTTATCGCCTTTTTCTGAAAAATATTGCTGATTGTGATTCTCCTCATTATATGAGAAAAGAATAAAATCCAGAACCATACCGTGTAAATTGAGGACGAGGAATAGGATAATTAGAATCAATGGTTTTATCTTGAACGACAACTAAATATTAGATAAGAGTCGTTACGTGAGCAAACCATCCGATGATGTATTAACCAATCGAGCAGATACAGAAAACCATATGTGGATAGGTTCAACACAATCTTCCTTGTGGAATTATACGAAGCTTATCTACATTTCGTTCTGAATATGCGTCGAAGTAAGTGCAAAATCCTATTGACATTGATTATGATCAAGAATAATGTTTAGGATCTTTAATAACTTATTTTCTTACTCTTTTTTTTTCGCTAGGAGCTAACTATGTGAAACGTTATTGTTAAATGTCATTATTCGGAATCTATTATCAATTAGCAAACACATTATTTCTTATGACGTGTTTAAATAGCTAAAATATTAAGCACATGTGCATCATACTTCTTTGAAGTTGATCAATTATCTTTTTCGATTATGTCGTTTTGTCGAAAATTGCTAGCATACTGTGTTGAACAACGTTGTTGCAATTGTACACACAAATAGGCCGTCGAGCATTAATTCTATAGATTCGGCAAAGTAAAAATAAAAAAAGTACACACAAAGAATAGTTAACTATTTGATAACTGCTCTTACAAAAATACTATGATTTCCTTTCTATTAGGTATTTACGTGTGTTGAAAAATTAAAATCTAACATTTAAAAAGAATATTATTCGTGAAAATTGTAGATTCAACGTGATTTGAACTATGATTTTCATCAACTGAGTAGAACTATTCAAACAATATCAATCAGCGAAATACATTTCTGTCAGTAACACACTATTGCATCTCTTTCGAAAGAAATTATAAGAAAAACAAAATAGTATTCACATTTGATCTAGAGATAATTGAGGCGAATAGTAAATAAAAAAAGTTCAATTTCAAACCCTTTTAGGACGGTTTTTGAACTAAAATTCTTCACAATATACTTTAAATATCAATACAATAAAATCTTTTTTCTTTATATTTATGTTAAGGTAATACCTACTTTTTTATTTAGTTTTCATATATTTATATATTTTCCTAAGACACTTTGCTCTTTAAACAAATCAGATTTATATATTTATGCGTCCTACAGTTATGCATAGAAAGACCATGAAAAATAAAATTTCTAACCGGATTGTATCTGTCATAAAGAAAAAACATTTTCCCATCTGATGTACCATCGTTGTTCATACGTAATGATGCCCTTGAATTATTCAGAAAACTCTTTAATTTATTTATTATTACTTGGAACACAAGCTATAGGATTTTCTATTAGCTATATAGTTTAGTTTTGATAATATTTCGAAAAGAACCATTTGAAAAGAATGAATTTCATTGCAATTCTTATGTCATAAAATGAACCAATGAGTCTTTTAAATGAGTTAACAGTACAGTTTCTACAGAAATGAAGATCATCTCGTCTATGTTTTATATTAGCATGAATTCAGTTATTTACTTGAAAAATTTGTCTATCACTCAATGTCAATGTTGTACAGAAGAGAATAATCAACAAAAAAGAAAAGAAAAAAAAAGAAATGAAGAACAATGATCATATTTATTATTGTGAAAACTGAAATTCGTTTTTAAGTAATCGATCAGCAAGCTTTGATTTCTCCTCATAATTATTAATCCAAATTGCTAATAAATCTTCAACACATTTTATAGTTAATCGTTCACCTGCATGTGTATTAAGTAAATGAAGAAGAAAAACTCCATCACGTTGTAACCATTGAACAAAACCTTTCTGACGACTGACATCATTTAAAATATTGTTTTGTGGTTCAGCATCTGTTGTTGTAATATTTGTTGAAGTCGGTGATATTGGTGTATAAGGTGAAAATGTTTGTTGCTTTTTACTCTTAATACAACGAATAAATTTATTAATAAAACGGTAACGAGCAAAAAATGGAACATAAATATAAAACGAATAAATCAATGAAATAATTGATATTAGAAAAAGTATAACAAACCAAATCCACATAGCAAAATAAATCTTTTCATAGAATATATTTATTAATAATATACACTAAAAGAAGAAAATAAAAACAAAACATAATATTTGTAGAAAATTTAATGTACTTCTTAATACATACTTCAATGGTATAGTAATGATCTTGACCTAATTCTCGTATGTGAAAATCACATAAAGTAACAAATGGAAATAATTGTTGATGTTGATGTGACAATTCACCTATACGTTCGCGTAATGATGAACGAAATACATATGTCAAAGTATCAAAACCGAAACGAAAAAATCGATAGTTTCCTGTCGATAAAATAATATTTAATATAAATACTTGTAGAATAATATTAATAATATAAATAAATTTAACGAGAAGATAAAGCGTTACAAGATAATAGGTATGATATCGAATACGAAATGAAATATTTGGTAGAAGAAGTGGCGAAGAAGAATTGTCATAATTTTCATTAACATTATGACGCAATAATAATTTTTTTTTACACTGTGCTAATTGTCTACACATTAAATAACGTTCAATTTCTTTTGCAATTCGATGATATATTTCAGGTTTATCATTGAATTTTTTTCCTTGATTAACCATCAATCCTGGATTTAAACCATTTCGTTTATAAAAACTAATCCAAATTAAATGTGGTAATAAGAAGAAAAAAGCTTGAATCAAATAGACAAATGGTAACCATTGATAATAACGAAGTGTATGCTGTAAACGTTCATTTTTATTCATTGGTATTCTTGTATAAGTTTGTGGATAGAAATATGTATTATTTAACCAACATAAAGTACGAGCGAATGATGTATAACCGTCAGTGAATTGAGCTGGTTGAATACAATGAATTGGATCAGCATAATATTGAAGACTTGTTGAAGCTATGGCTGATATAATTAAAACAGTAAGTGTTATTTGATAATGAATTTGATCTGATAAAAAATCTTTATTTGTATCGACTTTAATAAGACTACGACTTAATTTTAATATTATGTCAGCCATGGATCTAAAATAAATATCTATCGAAAGATCTTATTCTTAAAAACAAATTTTACAATAAATTCGAATAAAAATGTCAATATAATGTTCGACTGAATAGAAGTTACCAGTTAGTAATAGGTGTACGTGTGTGTGTTTGTGTGCATGTGTTCGTTCTCTTGCTTGTCATAGAATGTCCTTCAACGAAACATACACATCTCTATTGATTTGACGATACGAATAATGATGCCTTCAAGTTCCAATCAAATGTATAAAGACATTATGCCAATGATTTTTACAATTCATTGACGTTTGAACTGTTGATCTATCTTATTCTTCTATGTTATTTTTCTATCAATTCGTAAAGAGTATGATGAATAACAAGAGTCTTCTTTTCCTATACTTCATAATTTTTTTTCTATCAGTTCTCTTCTTTTTTTCTTTGCTCATTGGTATGCTACTGAGGATTGAAGAGAAGAAAGAGAGTGGTGGCTATGTATAATTATATAATACATGGTCTTTTTCTTTTTTTCTTTTTCTTCTCGAGACGTGATGGTGATCGATTGGCGGTAGTTGTATAGCGCATGCACTACTACGTATAACTACTCGATTCTATTACCCTTCCTTTTTTTTTCTCTTTTATCACTTCTCTCCTCCAACTGTTTGTTTGCAGAATACAATGCGCAACAAGGGAAAGAATAAGACTAAAAACGTCTTATCAGCACTCATAACCATAATATGTAGAAATAAACAATCAAAATGTGTGAACGTCACATGAAGAATAAAAACGTCAAGCATTAACTACATGAGCGAAACATTTCTTTTAAAAAGTTGTTACAGACGTTGATGTATTTTTCTGCAGTAAAAAGTTCATTTGAAATTATGAAGGAGAAAAAAAAACAGAGATTGAACCTGACATGAGGAAGAGCATTTGCAAAGAATTATTCATCTTGAAAATAATTAATATTTTGGAACTTTTAACCAGAATTTACTTTTCATGGAATTTTACCGATAATCAATTCCAACGAATACTTATATATTGATCGATATATAAAATATCGGATTACTATTCTAAAAGTCTTTGTAAACACGATGACAAATATATCAGCCTATTCAAAGAGAAGATAGCTGATAGATTTGTTTTTCAATCATGTATATTGAAATAATTCGAAAAAATTCAATGATTCAATTAAGCATTTCAAATAAATAAAGCCAGGAGCTAGATAAATAAATAAAAACGTGCTATCATTTGAGAACTTATAAAAAGATATTTATTAAAAAAAAAGGAAAATGAAAGACAAATCTTGAGTTTTTCAATGTGCTCGATTTACCCATGATCTAGTTTTTATTTCATAAAATAGATAACATTTAATTACATTCAAATAAGTCCTATCAAACGATATACTATGAACTGAACTACAACAAAATATTTCTCTATTAGAATATGTGAGTTAAATTCATTCATTCTATTTTCTTTTGCTTCAATAAAAATATCATTTACTAAAACAAAAAGATTAGATCATTCTACCGTTGAATCACTGAATGACATTCAGAAAATGTCATACAGAATGTAGTAATCTATGCATGAGTCAAAGCAACAATATCTTCAAACTGCCATTATCATGACTGTGTTGTTCAGCTGGACTTTTTCTATCGAATAACAATAAATGAATATGCATATACATATAACATGTTTTGAATTCGATTAAACTTTAAACGACATCATACGGTCAACTTTTCTATTTACCATCTCAATACTATCGCTAATATCCAAAATAATGATTTGATATTAATGAAGCAACTGGATAATCACAAACCACAAACAACTGACTATTTATCTAATTTACTAGCGTGTTTTTGTCTTAATACCATTTTATTTCTTCACTAACATGAAAAGTTACTTGGTGCGTCTTTTCTTTCTCAACAATGTTTCTTTTCTTATTCATTTTTATTTTAAAAAATCATTGTTGACCTATTGTAAATGTCTTATTCAAAACAATGATTAATATGAAGTCTATCAACTGTTTTTATTTTACTTGAATGCGATGTACATATTCATTTATGACAATTTCTCAGTAAGTCTTTGAAGAAAATTCACGTGAACGATCTATTGTTCCTTCTTGTTTAGCAAAATAATTAGACAACTTATTATAATATGAGATCAAAAAGTTCTTTGAAAAAATATTATTTTTGTTTGTCTATTCATTGTTATATTTCAGATTGCTGAGAGAAATACTGATGAACAAAAATTGAATAGAACGTAATAATGTAAACATTATTGATATGAACTCGTGATAAACGTATCTGTTTGAATGTGTTTTTTGAATATTTTTGAATCCTATTTGGGACATAATCGTGTCAAAATATAAATCTATGTATTATTATATAAATGAACATAGCATCTTCATTGATTATCATGTGCTATGTCGAGACAACATACAAGAATAAACGTATAGAATTACAAATCATTTATCAAGTTTCTCTTCAATCATTACTTTGTTGAAATGGAGTATGAAGATAAATTGTATTTACTATATGTTCCATACGACTAAAAATAAATTGTTTACACATACCTGTAAAGCAATTCTTTTCTAAAGAAGAATTAAAATCTAATTTTTTTCTAAACATTATTTATTTTCAATCTGAAGATTTCCGATACAAAAGCTAATGATACGTGTTGTAAATGCTTGTTTTCAAATATATAATGCATTCAAAAAGCAATGGCATAATAAATTCCAGCATTTCATCATTGAAATTAGATGAGTATGCAAAAAATATTTTGATTTTTTACAGTCTAATATAAAGTCAGTTTTAGTTTTTAGATCACAAACAACGTCTGATGTATCATTTAGATAGAAAATAATATTCTACTTGTCTATTTAAAGGTCGAATCAATCAATTCTATTCAAAGTGATCATCGATTATTTATCTAAGAAATAAAATCGAAATATTAAATGAATATTGCATTAAAACAACGTTTAAAATCCAATAAAGCTTTAGTAATAATCTGTAAAAATTCACTGAAATACTTTGTATTTTGTCAAAAAATGTATATTGGATTTGTCTAATTTCATTTCAATTAAATGACGATTTGTTATTAAAACAAGACAAAGAAAAAGTAATTAAAATCACTGCATTTTATCTAATTAATTATTGTAATACAGAAGACTTCCGTAATTGAGACAGAAAACTGTGTCGTTGTTCATTACTAGAATGACCAGCCGATTTTCGTTTTGTTGATATAGTTGAATTTCGTCTTGTCCATCCGATTATCATCGATTTTGGTGGTGACGGTAATTGTTCTCCTTTCTGATGAGATTCTTTATAAATAGATGAGTCAAGTAAAGGAATAGATGATTCTTCTTGAACGATTGTTGCTGATGGCGGAGGAGAACATGTACATTGACTACTATTACTTGTACTTGTTGTTGTCACTCCTCGAGATAGAAGTATTGAGCGTGAAAAAGTAGCATAAGGTACCGAACACGTATTAGGTCTATGATACAATTGATGTTGACGATGACATACAGCTGACGGATGATGATGATGATGATGACGGGCCATTGTCAAGAAACATTCAGGTATACATTCATATTGGTGATTTTGTGCGTTATCAACACCACCGGCACTGTTTAATGCTGATGGAGAATCAGTATTATTAGTTGAATTTACAATATGATGAGGGGAAATGACAGATTGTGATGGGGCTTCTGTCATTGGAATTAATTGATGAGAATAATAATCATCACAACAATTCAATGTAGTCGATGTACACTACAACAAAGAGCACAATATATTTTTAATCCGCCATTTCTTTTATCATAAGATCGTATCGATTTTATTAAAATTTTCGTTTTTAAATGAAAATATAGGTACTTATGAATATTTTACACAACTTAAATGATTCAAAAGAGTAAATCAATATTCATCAGTAATAGACTGCTGTTTTTGTCGGTTAAGTCGACATTTAACAAAAACAAATTATTAGAAAAAAATAATTCTTTTAATATTAAAGACATCATATTCTGCTTGAAAGTCCCTAATTCAAGTAAGTTCTACATACATATCAGCTGCACCAGTTCCCATTCCTATTGAATGATAACTGTGTACACATTAGTTATATTATTGCTCATGATAGTAGTATTTAAAAATTAGAAATTAGTTGAAAAACAATTTTTATAGGATTGATTAAAATCATCTTCAAAGGTTCATATGAAACTAGAGAAAAGAAAACTTAAACTGATTGAGGCCTATAGCAAAAAAAAATCTATTCTTTTAGAAAAATAATCATTTTACTTCGACTCCAGTCAATATCGAGATATCGACTAAAATTTTCAAAAAGTAATTAAGTACAATACTTCGAGAAATTTGAATCCTAGAGAATTTTATTATCTATCCTCAACAATAATACAAAAAGAAATATAATTTTCAAAACAACTCGAGTACTTATCTCGTTAATGTAGAACAATATAATTTTACAATTACTTCTTCAATATATCTCTATTGTCATGAATAAACTCGAGCTAATATTTCCATTGTTTAAATAATCAAAAAGTAAATAATACTTTTCTAAAATTAACCTTGTGTTAAGAGAATAAATAATAGACGAAAGAGAAATGGAATAGTCAAGATCATTTTCCTTTTCTTTCATGATTTATTCATGTTAGCAATGTAAGGAATGGAAAGAAAAACGGTGCGTGAAAAACATTAATGCTTAAATAGAGAAAACTCTCCAGATGTTAGCTATTTGATCATTGAAAAATCGTTAACAAGTGCTTTTCTCACATGCCTATTATCAATATCTGCAATAGATTGGTTCACATTGATAATAAAAAAAAGTGTTAAGTGTATCACACCTGTTTTTATTTGCATTATTCTCTTAAGTGTTTTGTTATGATTTTGATTTTGTTTCTCAAAGTAACATTGAATATTTAATCAACACTAAGAGACATGAACTCTTACCTTATAATGCTCACTTGCTCTTGTACATAGATCAGATTGATGAGGATGAGGATTTCTTGACGATATTGAACCAGTCATGACATAACTTTTGTATTGTGATTCTTCTTTTCTTAATTTTCTAAATAAGAAAAAAATACAGAATAATATGTGACAAAAACAAAAAAATATATTGTTTTACTTGAGACAAATAAAAATAAATATTGCAATTATAATACAAGAAATAACACTAATAATAGCCAAAATAAGAAGAAAGAGATTTAGCCAATTTATTTGCTCTTCATGTGTTTGCAGAATAGTTGAAGAAGTATTAAAAATATTCAATGATGGTCTCACACATTGACCATTTAAAATTTCAACTGTTTGAAAATGTTCAAATAAAGGTCCAGGTGGTTTAGGTGGAGGACGAATTGTAAATAGAGGTGGAGGAGGAAGACGACGTAAACCATCGTGCGCCATCTGAAAAACAGAAATTTTCATTGAAAATTAAATGTTAAAATATAAAGGAAACATAGTCATGACCGGATGAACAGAATAATTACATAGTTCCAATCGTATGCTATCGAAATGTGTCAAAGCAACAAAAATAAATGCCATGTACGTTTGAATGTAAAAAAAGCTCCTACCGAAACGATAACGCATCGATTTTTCTTTCTGTATTGAAAATTAAAGAATATAATCAGAAAGTTTATTTAATGGAAAATTCTGTCTTTTATTACAAGAATAGATATTGTCCTTGATTAAAGCAGACTCATATACATCTATTCACCCGGTAGGCAGATGTGATTAGATCGGAGCTTTCATTCTTTTTTTCTTCTTTGCTATTCAAGTAGAAGAAAAAGAATATTCTCTCATTATTACGTATGAATGCAGAAAAAAATGAGAAAGAAAGAAAAGCTATTGAATGACATAAACACTAGCCGTTATCTTTTTGGCACAAGTTTATGTCGATGAAAACTTGTCATCACATATGCTAGATGATAGGCTATGCTTCGATGAATGTTATGTAAAAAAAAGAGAAGAGAACAACGATGTACATATACATAGCTATATATATGCGTACTATGTGATTGATTTCTTTCTATTCAATTGAAAAAGAAGAAGGAAAAAATTATTCATGAGAATAAATTAACACAAAAAGAAAAAAGGTATTGTTATTTCGAATATTTATGTGCGTTTTGCCTCAAGGTTATCTTTCTTTTCATTAAATTATACAATTCAACAATCATTTATCACTATACTACCTAGTATTAACATCCATCCTATTATTAGATACTAATGATATAGAGGAAACCTTTCATTAACAAGAACATCAAAGTGCATCAATAGTAAAAAAGAAAAAGACAGATACTGAATAAATAAAAATGAAAGAATTTGCAAATATTTTATATATAATCCAAATCAAATAGCTACCAGTTCAGTTGAGTTTTTAAACTAAACTTCTTCAACTAACAAACGTGACAAATAATCTTTCTTTTCTAGTAGAGTCTGATTTACTAAGCCGATGGTCGATGCTTAAAGGCACATCTATTCTCTTTTTACTCATATCCATCTAATCCTGTTTGTTATTCGATCCACGTACCTTACACTAATGTCTGGACGTACATCGAAAAGAGAGTGAACTCCTCATAATGATGTAACTATCTAATTAAATAAAATGAACTCTGCATCTCACCTTATGTCATTATTTTGACCAAAAAAGTTATTCATCGTTATTATTTCGTCTTACATAAAAGCAAAATTCAAATGTGTAAAGATTTTAATCTATGTCACACACGGACACGGTCAATCAATCGATATACTTTATCGATTTGTTTCTACATATTTATAGTGTGAGCTAATAGTTTTACACAGTATCTCATAGTTATGTTCTTCAAAAGATTTCTATGACTTACGATATTTTTCTTCTCTCAGAAATATCTGAATGATGTAATAAACAGAAGTCGATAAAAGAAAAGTCATTTATATGCAAAGCAGTCGAAGAGAACAGATAAACGTTTAATTGCAATGGCGACAATGTTATACGTATATCGCTGTAGGGAAGTTAATCAACATCTGTTATATTCAATGTCGATAAATAAAAACAAGTGTTACATTTCGATTCCCAACAAAAAAAAACATAGTATGTAACGCCTTAAAGCAATGAACATCATGTTTATGGACACTTATAGTATTGTTTCCATCTCTAGAAGTGCCTTGAGGATTTAAACAGGTGGAATAATAATTTAATAAGAGACCTTATCATCTATTATTACCTTATGAAAATAAATAATTCTCAAATAATGATACTCTGAAGCTTTTCTTTTTTCTTTTTGAAATAATTAATACTTATTCTATCTAAAATGAGAAATGAAATAAAATATTATTTTGATTAAAACTCACCCGAGCGTTGTTTATGATTATTCTGATTTATGAAGTGACACAATGTTGAAAATCATTGAAGCACATATATACTCTTTCACTATCAATAATCTTTTCTTTCTGTCTTCTTTGACACTAAATAATTCCACCGTCGGTACTCATTATCCGCGCATCACGTTCGCTTCATTGGATTTCTACTCTTCGTATAATGATTATGCAAAAAGGAGGAAAGAAATACCGAATAGAAAAGGCTCAAATAATCTGGTGCGCGCGTGTACATTGTTGATCTACTATTGAAGATGATGAAAGAGTCTTGTTAGCCTTGGCCAGATCATCTGTTTCCTTCGATAGAATAGATCTGTAAAGGTAAATAAAAAGAAAATGATTTCCGGAATAGTGACTCAATGACTTTCAACTGTAGCATATATATATATATATATATCATAAATGAACACTAATTATGATAAAAAAGAAAATGGACGAAATGATAAATACAGCAAAGAAACCCTATTAGTTCTAATTGGATAATGAATAAAAGAAGGATTCCCTTCAGAGTTCAAATATGTTTCTCGATTTCCGTTTCATCTACTTCTCACAATCAATATTTGTTAGATAGAGAGAGAAACAGAACATTTTTATTTTCTTTTTCTCTCCCTTCACTAGCTAGCTATATGGAATTAGAGAGTCGTCATCTTCATCGTACCAACATTGAGAGAAGGTCAACATACATATAGACAAACAAAAGAGGTCATTCTAATTGACACGGTCTTTTCTTTAAGAAATGTCGTTGCTAAACAATTGTAGAAAAAAAGTTGAAAAAACATGGACACCTACAGTTTCATGTAAGACGATCTTTTCTTGTATATGATGCCAAATTAGAAGTTATTCTGCACACACACACACACATATATATATATGCATATTATTATGTATATCGTGCAGACCAGACCTATTCTATTGATGTATAGAAGCGTCTAATCTTTCTTTGTACATATAAACATATGTTCATGTTTATAAATCTTAAATGGTAAAGATTCAATACAACATCGAATAGACTTCATATCTTATTTATAAAAAGATATTTCTAAAAGAATAGCTACGATAAAAATAAGACGAACCTGTCGTTTATAAGCTTTAAGTATTTGTTAAATATTGAATTTATTTCAAGTCTTTTCTAATTAGATTTATCTTCTTTGAAGAAAATCCCTCCTTCTCATCAATTGTATTCAATAAAAAATAAACCACCTGTATGTTCAACACTCAAACGCATCATGCACGCAAGTCAATGTTTTATAGCACACAGGATAAGAGAGAGAGGTCATTCTTCTCTTTATTTGTCTCTCTCTCGCACTTTCTCGCTTTCTCGCCTTGTCTCTCTTGAGAGTCATTCGTTGTTGAAAGAATATGCGATGTCCATAAATGAGATTCATTTAATATTCTATACAATGATCAAAACCAGGAAATTGTCTTTGTCTATGTTGACACCAACGGCGAGCTTTTAATGCATTGCACTTTTTATTAGATCAAAAAGAGAAAAAAAAAGATTCTGTTTGATATTATTGATGAATTTCTCGTTTTTCTTTCTAAAGATATTCTATATACGTTATGTATAAAGTTTCTTTATAGAAATGTCTAGACTTCGAATAATAATGACCTTCAATTAGATATAGATGATGAAAATCCTCAATTTATCTACTTATTTAGATTCTTTATATTAGGCAAGTATGACAATATCTACTCAGTTCGATAATAAAACATTTTCTTCTGAAAATATTCATGCATTTAAAACAAAATGTGATAATTAGCTAATCAGAAGAGTATACATCCATTAAATTACAAGTGAGCAGCTGAATGATGCCAATTGAAGAAGAGATAGACTTGGGGCAATAGTTGATCGAGGAAAAAAATGCTTATGCGTCAATAATTCTCAGAAGGAAAGAAAGATATGTCATCGATCTGAACAGGTCAGTCTCTCGAGGCGAGAAATATGAAGAATGTCACCTTCAATCCCATGATGCGCAGGCAGAGAATAGCATCCCACCACACAGGAGAAAACTATTCTCATTCAAACGTAGTAGTCAGTTTTTGTTTTTATGTTACTATCAATCAGAGAGACATCATATAGATTTTTGAAAAGAAAATATTATTTTATTTAAATATGATAGATTGAATTTATTTATTTAGTTTTTAATACCTGAAAATATAAATCAATAAAGATGATTAATTTTATAAAAAAAATGTCAATTTAGTGTTACCAAGATCAACTCATCGATAAAAATATATGCATTAGTTATTATTCGATTAATAATTCATATCAAATGAGATATACAAGTAGACAGTTATCAATATATCTTTGATAAAATTGTGTTTTTTTCTACATTTAACTGTCTTCAATAATTGATTCAAGTTTTGCATAATGACTAAATAGGAAATACCATTGAAAATTTGTTTCTTTTTCAAATACTCAACAAAATCAAATTCTACAATTTTATAACTAGATATTTTTGTAAGAGCAATTTTCTACATGAACGAAAGTTGTTTTTAGAAAAACTAAAATTTGAACTTGGTGAAAAAGGTTTTTTTTAGCAAAATTAAACTATCGGTTGAAGGTAAATTGATATATTTATTTGTTTAAACAAAAATAACATCGAAGTTTGGATTTTTGTCAATTAGTAAAACGAAAAATTCCTTTGATGATTATAGATACTATCATCAATATTTGATAGGCAATATGTTTCAAAAAACACGTCATATGATTTTTATCTATTGACAATCATTTCATCTTCACTTATGATAAGTTGTGCATGATTAGGTGAAGTGAAGTATTCATAGTATAGCTAATTTCTCAAGTAAAATAAATCTGTTTTGATGATAATAGATTTATTTATTTTCTAATCTTGCTTAATTAATATTAACTTTTTAATAAACCATCGATAAATATGTCTCAATTAATTTAGCCTGTATGGATGCTTTATTGATTTTTTAACAGGAAAAATAATGGTCAATAGAAAAATGAAAACAATGGGTTAACTAAAGCGGCGGTTGAAATAAAATTTGAACTTCTGTAGATTTTATCAGTAAATAAAACAAATACATGA